ATATATATTATCGCTTTAAATTAAATTTTCGTGTATTAAAATTAACTTGTGTAATCGGACATAAAATTGCTGATGTCACTCACCAAGAATGCCCTTGACTCCCTTCTCAGCTAAATAAGTTGCATATTTTGGTATAGCGTTCAAGTTGAGAGATCTGTCGAATTATAATATTTTTTAGCATTTATATATATACGTTACAGTAAAAGCGTAAAATTTAACAAATGCATAATAAATACACTTACTGTTCAATGTATGCAATTTACGTACAATTTTAGCAAATGTATCAAATTAAAATTACAAGAGTGACATAAATAAAACTAACAATAAATTGACGATCATTGAGAGCCTCACGCTGGATGTTCGTGCGATCGCGCTGGAAAGCGAGATATTTCAGGTTCGACTTCTGGCCGATGTTTTTTCGCAATATTTTAAAATTATACACAGAGCGATATATGGGTATATTTATCACATATTATGAGATGCAATTATAGCATTCTATATAAATTTTTAAGAATTAAAATTTTAATTCAAATTTTTTACGTGTAATATTTGTTCACACAAAGAAATATAAATATACATATATTCATTTCGCAACAAACATCCAGCGTAAGATTCTCAATGATCGTCAATTTATTAGTTTCAAACTTTTGGAGCCAAATCTCTTAATTAATTGTTGTGACATAAATAAACTACTATTTTTGGCAAATATATTCATTTACTAGACAATTTGTATGTATTTATAACTGTTTTTTTTATGCTCTCCCAAAATAAAAATAACAAAATGTGAAAGTGTGGTAAGTATCAAGGCCGAAAATATATTGAAGGTTCTCCACTACACTGTTCTTTGTAGTGTGTGATACACATCTGCTAGCAAAAGTGATTATTTAAATTGATGCATTGACATTTTCGTTTATTCATATACTCTTACTAAAAAATCAGATGTGAAGACGTGTTCATCTGGTAAGTAGTAAAAGTTTAAATTTCTCATTGCTTGTGTGTAAATATGTACATTTACGTATCAAGGTTGGTAGGTGCATACATTGACTAGTGAGTGTATATACTTCTTGAATTCACATCTTATCTGTGATATATGTATACACTTACTGATAAAAGTTAATAAACAAAGTAGTTTATTTAAGAAACTTCGGTGTACAAATATATTACTGAGAAGCGTGTCAAAAATTCTGGAGGAGGAGTAAATTTTCAATTTATTCGAAAATGACTCCAGAAATAATGTCCTATTGGTCAGCGATTTTTAATGTTGAAAATATTAACTTGTTTCTTATCTTTTGTCAATAAGTGTATATTGTATATAGATACAGGTTATGTGTAAATCACTTACCCATCGTCGTGGAAAGGTGTTAACACAGGGACAACAAGACCCCTGTACGTGTATGACATTTGCGCCTAGAGAAAATTAATAATAAATTATAATGAATTTGTGCGCGATAGAATCTGTTTGAAACAGTTTGAACATGCACGATCATTCTTGCAAATATCATTTTGTCTACTTACAGACATATGTTGTGCCAGACAACAACCCAACAAGCAGTATCGCGGTAAACGTCACACTGAAGATAACTGAGATGAGACTTGCGCCGATGAGTCGCGAGAGAACTGATAAGATAAAAATCTCAAGCGAGACGTCCGGAATACACAAACTTCAAGCAATAAAACACTTGAATAAGACCAATCGTAGTTACAATTGTTATCTCGCATTAGTCAAAGAATGCTATTGGTCACTTCGCTCAAGTCTCACTCGCCGCGAAATTTTGACCATTTCACTCAGACCGAGGCTAATAGCCTATAGATCGATTAATAATGTTTATGAGTTCATTGCGAATTGCTCCCGGAGCGATTATCACTTGGGTAAATCAAGCAATTTGATTGGTCAATTTGTCAAATTGACGTTTCGGCAACGATTCAACCCGTAATCCTATCGAAAACGCTATATTTGGAATCTTGTGAATTAATTCGAAACGAAACCGCGGGAACGAGCGGTGAACTTGTCCTACATACGCAGCGACCAATGTCGCTGAGTTGCATACGGTATATTCGAAACAGTCGTATATCGTTTGAGAATTATGCGGCATTATTGAAAAATCATACATATGAGTAAATTTTTTTTGTTTTTAAAATTTTTGTTCCACAAATTATATGTAGTTGTCAGAAATTTATTTGATTTTTATTTGGATGTAAGTGTGATACTCTTTCTTAAATATAATTCAATAGTTTGTTTTTCGTTTATCTGTCATTGTGTTCGCATATCTCGCTGCGACTCTTTTGCAAAAATGAGTGCGAATGTGAAAATAGGCTAATCGTAGTCTCATCAATCGTAGCTCGAGGTTGTATGAGACAGAAGTGGAAACTTAATGAAATATTAATGAGACAGAAGAAACGACGATCTTTAACAATTCTCCGGCGAGAAGCTGAGCCAATTTATCTCTCACCTATATTATTTTATGTCAGAATTGTAGTTCCGATATCTTTTATGCAAAATACATCGTGCGCGCGCAGTTAAACTCGCCGCGCACGTATGTGTGTGTGTGTGTGTGTGATTTTGGCTCGCCAAAAAACTTGGTTATTTAAAACCAACCTTGGCTATTCTAACGTAAATTTTATTAATAAAATTACTTATACAAAGTAAAAGACAACATTACACGTGTCAATCAAATAGATTTCTCAGCGTCTTAATTGAAGCTTTTAATTAGCTCTTTTCAAACGAGCGATGCGCCGTACGTAATAAGTGACGTAATATTTTTTTAAAATAGTTGATCAATTTAGCATTCAGCTTATGCAATTTTCTCCAAGTAACCGTGACGTTTCTGGCACCGACTTACTTTCTCTCACTCGCTTTTGTTTCGTTTTCTTTTTTATTTTTTATTGAGTTTTTTTCGTATCGTTTAGATAAGTAATTTATCGAATGACTTTTTCTTTTGTCAAAATTTTTACTTCAATATTTTTGCGTCATTACGTATCACATTTTTCGTCAAATTACTCTAATGCGTAACGCGTCTATGTTCTCCGGATAATGTGTTAGATATTTACATTCCGAGACAATGAGACAAAATTTAATATAAAAAATAATCGTCCGCATTTATCGAAAACAATTTCTTTTTTTTCCATCTTTTCTCGAACGACAGTAATTACAACACCGCATTTTCATGCCGACATGGAAAAGTGGGGACTGACTCTCACCGCTCGAGCGACGGCGGCGAAACGTCTTTCGCGAACTCACTCGTGTGACTGCAAACTACGTAAACGTATCGATTTCGCAACTTCTACGCGAACGATCGCATATTAGCGAATAATTGTGAGCGTTGTACAATTAAAAGTTCTTTGAAATCTTTTATTTGTTTTATATTCAGTGAAAAGTCGACGATTATGGATAGCACTGTGGAGAACTTCGTTGAAATTCACTCTATTTGCGACTCGAATTATTATGTACCTTCGGCCATTCAGCTCGTAGAAAGTGAGTAGACAACTCCTTTATGTAAGACGAGAAGAAAACGTTATTATTATGGGAATAAAACGTTAAAAAAGGAAATAAAAAAAAAGATGATTTAAGTGCAACGTAAAATCCGTTTTATTAACAATATTGTTCCAAAGGAAATTAATCAATGTTTCTTACGAGACTTAATGATCTTTTTTTTGTACACAAGATATACTAAATAAAATATAAAATATATTATTAAAATACTGTTGTTCACATTTCTATTCTCTTATCAGTATTATAAATGTATTATTATTTATTTACAAATAAGAAAGCGACTCAAAACTCTAATTTTGCAAGAAACAACTACGTGTAAAAGTTCAACAAGCGTTTGATCTGAAGATAAATAAAATAACGCAACGCGAAAAAACGTACTCGTGCGAACTACGTAAATGTGTGACTTTACAGAAACGATTGCAAACAAAAACTTTATTTTTAGATAATGTTTTCTTCCGATACTTACTACATATTTCTAATTATATATTTTAAAAGAAATTCTATCAATATTGTACATGCGATAAGATTACACAAATTGAATGATGAGAATCATCAGTTAAGAGAATTACGATGAATGATGATTCTGAGATTTCGAAGATTGTAAATCTTTGGAGTAGTCTATTGTCTGAATGCCTACTTATCTGCGGAACAGATAAGATATGAAGATATATAACAATTATGTCACTGAAAAATGACTTTTCTTGAGAAGTATTTATATAATTATTTAATAATAATTATTAAAATGTTTACAGTTTATATAATATATTTAAAGATATATCTATATAATATATTTATAATATATTTACGTGAAAGTTGAAAGAAAGAGTTAGTTTTTTCTCTTATTAAAAAATACTTACTTCGCTTTTCTTTCTTTTTTGCAGATTTAAATGAGTTCGCGATCGGATTGCTAAGCGTTGGATCGATACTCTCGATCCTCACATTCTACTTGGCTGTCGATACCTGTCATAATGTTTTGTCCCAAAAAGATTCGAGATTCTTTAAATCAAACGTTATCATGATCATGTCGGTTTATCCGGTAGCGAGTGTTTGCAGTTTTACAGCAATTGCGATACCGAGGTAAGAAAGAAAGAGAGAGAGAGAGAGAGATAAAATCTGTTAAAATTGTTGTGTGTTTTTCACAACAATTTTTGTTTCGACAGACAATGACAGATTTTATTAAATCAATTTTATTAATCAATTTAAAAAATTTAATTTTTTATATTCAATAAACGACACACACGTACATCCTATGTTTTGGCTGACATCTGTCCTCTGTTTCAAAAAAAAAAAAAAAAAAATTATTTGACGTAATTGACTAACGAGTAATGTATATAGTTTTATTAATCAGTAATCATTGTGTACCTCTTATCGACTTTTGATAGGGGCCAGTTATTGTCGGAAGCGGTAACGCAGATGTTTTTAACAACCGCTCTTTATCGGTTGTACCACCTTCTGCTGGACGTCGGTCGGCGTAAGATCAACGAAACGCCCACGCTGATATTACGAGTCGGCCCTTGTTGCTGTTGGCCCTGTTTACCGTTCCCGGATGTTCGGATGACCGACTCCCATCTGTCCTGGTTGAAAATCTTGATCTTGCAGCTCCCAATAGTCCAGGCAAGAGATTTCTCTCTCTCTCTCTCTCTCTCTCTCTCTCATTGTTTTCCTCACGCGCTGATTTTACAATCGCTATATTAAAAAAAAAAAAAAAAAAAAAAAAAAACAAACAAACAAAATAACACTCTTGGCGAGCACAAATCTAAATTGGAGCACGTACTTTTTTCAGGGCCTTCTATTCTGCATATTCCTCTTCATGGCGGCCGAGAACACGACACTCGCTGACCAATATATGATCTACTTTCAACCGATCATGGTGACCAGCATATTGTTGGGAATATACAGTCTGACGGTTGCCACGAAAACGTTGCACAAAGTAGCTCCGGGTAATGAAGCGCGCGAGTAAAATCGATTATTCATCGATTCTACCTTCGACTAAATTGTGCCGCATCTAATTATGCAAACAATACGTCGTAATGCATAAGTTTCCGTTTCAGAGGCCAAATTGCATTTTAAAACGCTGGTGTTACAATTGGTGCTCCTGTTCTCGAAGCTGCAGTTGGGTATCATCAGAAGTCTGTCGAGTCTGTTTCCGTGCAATCCTCCAATTTCACCGGCGGTTTACGCCAACGGTAATAATACACGTATATATATTCGCGTGCAATTACATTACCACATTTCCAATTGTTATTAATCTTCTCGCTCTTTCTCTCTCGCGCTTTCAGTGACGTTTAACGCTTTGATGCTACTCGAAATGTTGCTGCTGTGCTACGTCGCTCGACGTATATATTACGTTGATTTGGATAAGAATCAAGAATCGGACGCCGCGACGGATCAAACGAGAACTTCGACGGATAATTCGGCAAACGGCGCCAACAAGCAACTTCCCTCGACGATAGCGTAGTTAATATGAGACGCGTGAGAGAACGGCACTGGCACTTTGTCATATACGTATTTGTGTCTAAGCGATGTTTTGTAAATAGTATTGAAAAATGACACACAAAATTGACGCGCACGTTTCGAAATCTTCGCAGCGCAAGATTGTCGAAAGCATCTCCTCGTTCCGACGATGTTAGTGAACTAACGAACATTGTGTTTTTTTTCGAAATTTCGAAAGGAATAAGTACAAAATATTGATAACTCGCAGCTCAAAATTGAATTAAGTAAAACAAATTGGCAATAGAGCAGCGACGCGGTTATTGGTGCGTAAAAAAAATGTTGGTTATTAAAAAACAAATGTTAAACCAAGGTTAAATACAACTTTTTAAGCAATGATAACGGTTCGGAAATTGAATACAAGTAATAAATCGGCAATGGAGCCGACGCGGTTATTTGGCGCGCGCATAAACCTTATCATTTATTAAAAAGCAAATGTCGGGCCGCGTTAAATACAAATTAAACCAGTGATAACGGCTCGGACGTACAAATTCGATACAACAGTTATCGCGCGCCAATAAATAACCGCGCGTTGATTCTAACTGTCAATTTATCGCTTGTATTCGATAAACAATAAAATTTGCGTTTTTTTTCGAAAAAGACTGTGAAGAAACAGATGTGTCGATTTTAAAAGAGATTAGTATCTTATACTCATTGCGGATATTATTATGTGAGATTTCTCATTTTTAAGCAATTAATAAGTGTTTAATTAAAAGTGATAATTCTTTTTGCGCAGGTGCGATTGAAAACTACTACAGTAGTATCGATCGCGAATCCGAGAGGCAAAACGTAAATCACAAATCGAAAAGACATTTACGCGGTCTGTTGCGCGCGTAGCAAACGATCAAGTAGGTACATGTAAAAAGAATCCTATGATCTTACACAATGATGGTGTCCGTTTTTTTATGAGTCATCACCGAACCGACGTGCATGTACCATAAATAATATGCGGTGTTAATGTATATATATATATATGCGAATGCGACTAATTATACAATAACAATATGTTTGAGATTTCCGAAGTTAGTTTATAAGTTTTTAGGCCGAGGACTTTAGTCTGTAATTTGTTTAATTATTGTAAAAAGAAAAAAAAACACACAATCGAGAGTTTGTACATAAAAAAACAATAACAATAAAAAAAATGTTCAATTGAGCACACGATAAAATCGCAAAATCACTTTTTCAATGTTATTTTCTATGTTATTTGTTTTTTTATAAGTCTTTAATCAGAATGAAAGAAAAAACCCCAATGAGAACTTTTTGTAAATGTTGGTCAGAGAGAACTTCGAAATTTTTTGTTTTTTCTCGAGAATATCTCGAGGAGACGTTTCTAGAGAAATTTCTTGAAGAATTTCCTTCTTCTTCTTCTTCTTCTCTTCCGCTTTCAAAGTGCATTGAACCCGAGTGACAAACTCTCTACAATGAATCAACTAAAAAGTCTGAAATGTACCGAGCGAACGTACGGATTCCTCGCGCACATGAGCGCGCGGTGAAAAGTGTGCCGTGACCTCGAACAAACTCCCGTTATCCTAGGCTACGTCATGAACATCTTTATCCTCACAGTCTTAACTCGGACGACGAACCGAGATGATGATCGGACTGTTGCTCTTTGTCATTCTTCCGTATCAACTCGCGCAACCGGACGCAAACAACAATGGACTAATTGGACTCGTCGCGACTCTAAGTTTTTCCGTGCTGCCCATCGGAATCGCCGTTAGCACCAGGTGCGTGTGTATCATACACTTCTGTTGTATAACTCCGCTATTGTATATGTTTTATTTTACTTTTTTGTATTTAATTTTGTCTCACTCAGATATGTTCCAAAATGGAAGAAGCAAGCGTGCGAAATACCAGCGTCCCAACATCCCAACTCGCACTACGTCTGCGACGAAGCTGGCGAAGTGAAATGTTTGCCAGGTATAAAACCACGTCACTTATACGCGAAGTCTGGACTCTATGCGTGTATATTGTAGTTGCAAAAACTTCTGTTATTTTTATTATTATTCAATTATTATTTATAGGATGGACCGGAGATCTTTGCGACGTGCCGATTTGCCGCAAGGGTTGCGATCCTCTGCAGGGCTACTGTCGACGACCGGGAGAGTGCCGTTGCAAACTTGGTTTCTACGGCGATCTGTGCGACAAGTGCGTGGCTCTACCTGGATGTCAGCACGGAAGGTCTGATCTCGATTGATTATTATATCGTACATGACACTGCGCGCAATCAAGATGATACGTCCAAGAAGAGACGATGTATATATATGTGTCTATATTGTTTTTTGCGCGCAAGCAAAAATTTCTTATCTGTCTAAGTATGTACGCGATAATGAAGATTTCGAGTAAACTCCCATGATTTTTCAGATGTAACGTAAGCTTCGAGTGCTCCTGCGATCCCGGTTGGAAGGGCATGTTCTGCTCCGAACCGATCTGCGCTTCCGATTGTCTACCCAATCAGGGTTACTGCGAAAAACCCGGCGAGTGCAGGTGTCGATTGCAGCTTCTTATACTTATGAAAGAGACAGAATTACGGTCAGAAAACAAGGAGAATATCACAGAATTCTCTTCTTTCAGATGTCGATTGGGTTGGCAGGGATCTAAGTGCAAGCAGTGCGCGGTGCTGCCGGGTTGCGCCCACGGGACCTGCCAAGGACCTCTGGAGTGTCGATGCAACCCGGGTTGGACTGGATTACTTTGTCAAACACGTAAGTCTCTATTTTCTCAGGAAAGATTTAAAAAACTCTTTTTCTGTACGTAATATACGCGTGTTTCAGCGATATGCGCGCAAGGATGCAGCCGGGAGCACGGCGGCTGCAAACGACCGGGTACGTGCAGATGCCGCGTCGGTTGGACGGGACCGAATTGCACCGAGTGCGTGCCGTATCCCGGCTGCGTTCACGGTTCGTGCAAACGGCCGTGGGAATGCAGATGCGAGCCCGGCTGGGCGGGCGATCTCTGCAACGAGAAACTCACCTACTGCGAGGAGCATCCCAACACTTGCCGAAACAATGCCACCTGCATCAGCATGAGTCCCGAGGACGGCAATTATAGGTAAAAGTAAAACAATTTAACTTTTTAATTTTCAAATTTTTGTAGTTTTATTTTTTATATATTTTTTAAAAAATTTTTTACATCAATAATATGTTACTTTCTGCAATTATTATATTATAAAAAGAACGTGCAAATGCGCCTTGCAGATGCATCTGTCCCCTGGGCTACATGGGTCGACAGTGTCAGATAAAAACGATGGTACCGTCGACGGATCTGGTGCCGCCGATTCCCGACACGGAATTGTCGCAGCAGATTCAAAATCTTGCGAATAAAACGGAAGGATCTTCGAACGAGGACAAAACTGGAGAAGAATCTACCAACGAGAAAGAGCAAACCGCGGAACCGCTCGGACCCATAGTGATCACGGACCCGCCGATGACCATCGCAGATTCGGCTGCGACCGCGGGAAAATGGCCGACGGAAATGACCACGGAATCGAACGAAGGAGACGACGAGAATGAGACATAAAATGAAACAATTTTCTGACACAGTTCTCTATTTTTCTTTTTTTTTGCTCTCTCTCTATTTATTTTACTTCTTTATTTATTTATTTATTTATTTACCCCAAGTTGCATGTTTTCTACGTAACTTATAAAATATTTGAATAAAAGATAATTTTGTATATTATTACTGACTGATAAAACAAAATTATCTTTGTCCATTAAGTTATATAATCGATGTATAACATGTATACACACACTTTTGCGAAATATATGCGTATAAAAAAATATATAATATATTTACGTAAAATATATATGTATTTATTTTAAATCAAACGAATCGCGGCAGCGCGGAACAGAACCAAAAATAAATCGCGAAACACGGAGCACATTTTGTTAAATCGGGATTTTATCATCTGAAACACACGCGGTTTTTCGTGAACACCGCGCTTAGTTCGTGCGCGCAAAACGCTCAGTTTGCGCGGCGCTCGAGGACAAATGTAAAACGCGCGCCGTAACCACTCTCAGACTTTCCTCTGGATCTGTGGTACGTAAATATAACGTATACTCGCTCTCAAAGTTACGCTCCAACGATCACACGTCTGACTCGATCTCCCCCGATCGTATATATGTACCGTTTTCATGAATATACGCCGGCTCCGCGAGAGATCGACTTCTCTCACATAACAGACCGTAATCAACAGAGTTACAAGCATCGCTTATGTAACTTAACGATCGCGTTCACCCTTTGTCTCGAATAAAAGGAATTGAAAAAATGCGTGTGGAAAGTGAGATTATGTATCATATATCACTCACACACACACACACACACACACGCGAGACAAAATTTAAAACCGAACTTATAATGTTGCTAAATATTCGAGCAATTCTTTAATTAATAAACTAGAAGTTTTACGACGCGGAGATCTAAGTGAATTTATTTATTATCCTGCTTTTTCTCCGCATTCCTCGTTTGCGTGCAAAAGCGAGATATCGCGCGAAGTTTTGTTACGCAATTTTATTTTATAGGCTGATTTTTTTTCACACCACCGTCACCGACGTATTTGAAAACGTACGCAGTAAAAAAAAAAAATGATAATTTTAACATTTTTTGCACGTTCCAGGAGGTTCACTCTAAATTTTACGTTAAAATAACTCATTCGTTGTGTGAGTCACTTATTGACAAACTAGTAAAGTCAAATACTTGACACAATACTTTACATTTATATTTGTTATTTTGACTGTAAGCGTGATGTAAAAATAACATAAAATAATTAAAACTACACAAAACAATAGTTACAGTAACTCGTAAGAAATGTTAATAAAACATTTTAGTTTGTACAATGTGGTCAAAGATTTTTTTAATTTTTTTAGTATGTTAAATTAACTTTGAGACATCTAGATTAATTGAAATCATTGTGTTAAAAGCGCTTAAACAATATTCCATTTTTAAATGACATGCAAAAAATGTTAATTTGTGAAGTTAACATAAATTTAACACGTGAAAAGATTAAAAAAATAATAACATATCAGTATTATAATTAATTTTACATTGAAGTAATAATAAACGTAAAACGTCGTAACACAAGAAAAGTTCTACATTTTGACGCACCATTTTTTACTGTGTAAAGTGAAAGAAAAAACAGTCTTTTTTGATTCGCGCGTTTAGCGACTAGAACAACAAAACGGTAACAAAGAGAGGAATTAATCTCGCTCGAGACTTTTGAACGGTACTTGTTACACTTGCATCGATGTTCGGAATTGCGATATATCGGAAAGTTCCGACGAGAGACCCTGCCTCTTACAATATTACACGCCTTCGCGCGCGCGCGCGTGTGTGTTGCAAAGATTATACGTATAGCAATGATTAACCAACGCAGTTGCTTCTTAAGTGCACCCTTCACCGAATTCCATGCAGATGCAGTTGATAAAATGTAACGCGGGAAACGATCGGACGAGAAAAACGCTACATGCGCTAGTTGAACTCTTCGAGAAGTAAACTCGAAAAAAACTGTCGAATAAAATTCAAGTGTCAACTTTTCACAAGTAATGCAAAAATATACAATATACAAGCGGTAATACAAATGTTTATGTAACTAACGTAAAAGAGTATATTAAGATAAGTATATTAAGATAAGTTTAATTATATATATAATATTAGTCTTTACTTTTATATATATCTTATTTATTTTTTATGTATTTATTTGCTTATTTCTTTTTGTTCTAATTAGAGTTAGGAGATCGAGTACGAATAAATGATACACATACATAATATATATATACATATATGTGTATATTTATATAGAATATATTTCAAAACTCTACGCTTGTATAAAAATTCTTGAGAAATCGCAAACGCGAAATTAAAACGTCAATAGTCGTGGCACAGAACTTGTAACAAGTCTCTTTCGTGTGAAAATCGTAACAAATAGCCTGATTGCAACAGAGCATGTATAACTCACGTATCACTTATGAAAGGTTAATAACATAACTATCGCACATTTGAAATAAACAGTTTGTACGCCGTTTGTAAAACAAATAACGATTATTGTTTTAGACAAGATAACTTTATTGTATGTGAGATACAAAGGAAAATTGAACTTGCGAGCAAAAATATGAGAAAGAAGAGAAATAAAGACAAAGAGAGAGAGAGTTAATTATTGACGCTCGCAATTCATCGCAAAAAAAATCCTCTGTCACGGTTGATGGCGGAAATTAATGCGCCGATTTATCTCGATCTTTTGCGGCATGTGACCTTGCTAATGTTTCTTGCGATCTTGCGACATGATCTATCTGAGATCTTGCGACAATCTCACTCAATTCTTCTACCAACACGCGCGTTTGCCTCTTAATAGCGAAACATACTCGATAAAGCGCGGGTCAATAGCTTCGTCGCTTGTTTCAGGTCTACTAGAATGTATATTTATGCGGTCATTGTTATGACATGATCGTTTCACACGTGTTGTCCGCGGTCGGAACGTACCTTACGTAAGAGAGAAAGAGAGAAATGTAACGTGTATGTGTGTTTTTTTTTTCGTGCGAAGAAAAAATCATTGGCTTCAGTTTATCAATGAGAAAGAAATTTGATTTTATCACGAACTTAAAAGTGCTTCGTCGTTCACGATGCATTCAATTTAACATACTTGTCTTGTTCGCGACGAAAAAGACGCCACGAGGAAGATAAAATACGTTCTGTCGCGCGTTCGGCAGTAACCCTAACCACGCCCCGGTTCTCGGAGAGACCTTGCAAAGAATGCGCGACACCGTTGCAGTTGCATCACTACAGGCCGAGTGTAACGACGCGTGCATGCATTACATTTCACCTCGGGAGACAAAGAAATATCATCGGGAGAGGGTAAAAACGGAAGAAAAAGAAGAGACCTGACGATTTTAACGAATTATATATGCGCGTGAAAGATAAATAAAGACAAAAATAACAACAAGACGCGCGGTGTCAAGATTGAAACAAACTGCGGAACCTAAAGAGAGATTTTTGATCCCGCCGATCAATTTTCGTCGGAAACTCTCGCAAAGTTGTACGTATTTTCTCTTGAAAAATTAATTTAAAAAAACAAAAAACCAAAAAAAAACAAAAAAACAATTGCAATCATCATACGAGATGCACACAAGTTCTATCGCCGTAACTCTCACTTTCTGGCGACCGGCCAGTGAAAACTGCAATCGTACCGCACTTATATCAAGATTTGCATCTTACGTAAGCGCGCTTACAGGATCGAGTCTGGTCACGTCGTTTGTTACGTTGTGCTTACGTGTTATATCGAACTGATTACCGAAAATAATGTGCTTACGCACAATTCCGTCTTGGAATTCGGGTCGGAATTTATCTGAAGGCGAACCGTCGTAAGGCGGTTTCGTATTTAGAAATCTCGTTGATTTCAAACAAACACAAGTTTAAACATCGTTTGCAGATTTTATTTTTATCTCGAAGTAAAATCTTACGAGAAAGAGAGAAATCTTTGACGAATTCGAAAAAATCAACAAAACTTCGTAAGATACAGTCGAGGAAGATCAAAAATTCACAATGTTTGCGATTTCTACTGTAAAGATCGGTTTTTTTTTTTTTTTTTTTAAGTTGTCTTTTATATCGTCGCCGATTCTTGCGCAGCCTGGCACTGAAAAAAAAAAGAACAAAAAACAATTATTGACGTAATTTATATCTTGTTAGAAAATCCTGCGCGCACACACAAGTCTCTGATCTCTTGTACACGTATGACTCATAATTATCACCGCGGCAAATTCTTTTTGAGGCTCGAGCGAGCGCGCAACGAGTTCGCAACACGGTTGCTTGCACTTTCATAATGCACGTATATATATATATATGCAGATTACATACGTAAGTGCACGCGAGTTGTATTCCCTCATCGATCTCGCGATCCCCCGATACTAATCTGCGAACTTGATCGAGCAACGAACGACGACGACGACGACAACGACGACGACGAATTGATCTCGTGATATAAGAATGAACCGTAAAATTAAACGCCACGTAATAAGCTCCCGACAAAACGAACGATTTGTTCTAGAACAAGTTCTTATTATCGTTAAGACAGATTTTCTCGTTTACTTTCTTTTTTGTTTTATTACTTTATCGGGGAAATAAAGAATATCTTATTTAATTTCTCGATATGACGCTGCAAGAACAAGGCGTTGCCGACAGGACAGGGGCGAATTGCGTAATACATCGAGCGCGAGATATCGCGATTAAAAAGAGAACCGGCTGGCCGGAAGTAATGCTCGGGAGGTGTGTCACACACATATGCTCGCGAGATCGGTTCTCTGACGCGGTTTTCGCCGCGCGAGCGCAAACGGATCCACGCGCGCCGAGAGCAGCGCAAGTCGCCAAGAATGTCGAAAAGCCGGCTTTTTCTGGTTTCACGCGTGGATGGATTTTGCGCGCGTTGTGAGAGAAAAAGGCCGCTTGATGCAATTTGTTTTCAAGCTTCGTGTGTGTGTGTATGTGTCGTCGACATACGCAAATGACAATACAACAATCAGGGATCGACTTGGAGAATCGAAAATTATGTTAAATATCTCTAAATGGGTATGAGAAGCGCGCGTTTCTCTCGATCGAGTTTTTTGATTGTCTCGCACTCTTCGGAACTCGGCCGAAACACAAAGAGCGAATTCGAAACGTCTGAAACGGCTAAAGGCGCACAACACGCGAGAGATTGTCGAGGTTCGCGATTACGTTCCGCTACAAATTAAGTATGCGATCATTCATTCATCGATCTCTCGCGAACAAAAGTTGAGTAATTACCTCGCGCTGAGTATAAAAAAAACTCGATCCTTTTCCCGAGCGTCGTGTGCGTCTTTATCATTGTTGCGTGCAATAATAAATAATACGACGATTTATTTTCTTGTCGTTGGTCGAACGTGTCAGGAATACAATTATTTTGACAGCCGGAAAATGAAACGAATGATTAATAACTCAATTTCTCATCTCTCGAAAACTACAAGTACGCTCTGACACAAAGTATTGTATATTATTACGAAGGTCCGTAAAAAATATATATATACACTGTATATCGTAACATAGAGTGTATATATTTTTTATATATAAAATATGTGTGCGCGCACGTGATAAGTTATTACGTGTGTTCGTTAACGTTCGTTGTATAAGCTTTTCTTTCAACTTTTCCCACAGTTAAAAAAAAATGACGATTTTTGACAATGTCTCGAAGGAAAAACAAGTCGGTCTAGTGTTCAACTGCTGTCGACGCAATGCTGGATTATTGCGTTGTGCCAAGACAAGTATATCTTGAACATTTCACGGTTTTGTCGTGACTCTTTTTTCGAATCTCAAAACACGCTTGCGCGTTTATGTAATATTCTTCTCTCTTTCTCTCTCTCTCTCTCTCTCTCTCTCTCTCTCTCTCATATTTCTATTAATAAAGCGTGTGATCACTGGCGCTAAAACCTGGAGACACCTTTTACACACATGTGTCGCAATGTTTCTCCGCTATATTTAAACCGCAGGACACACCAACTTACGCGCGTAAGACGTGCATCGAGGTAGATCTCTCGGCGGCGGTTGGATGAATGATCTCGTTAAATGATCTAGTTGCATCGAAATGTGTGTTGTCCTCACTACATATCTATGTCTCATTCCTATCTGCATAAAAGTGGCCGAGCGAACATTCCATTTACTTAACTCGCAGGCTCGCGCACGTTTAGCACGTTATACAATCGTTGCACATTATGTATTTAATATATATATATATATATATATATATGTATGTATATGTATATATATATATACATATAAGTATGTACGTGTTGTATCTATACGCTGGTAAATAGTTTTAGATCCTAGGTAGGAGTGGCTAAAGACAGGCTGTTCATTTCCCTTACCACTTGGCGGGGCGCAGGGTGCGCGAAATGAAAGTCAATTTCCTATATAAAGGGTGGTTTTCCAGCCCGAGCGACAGAAATCGATCTATTTTACTCGCGCACGAGAGTCAAAGTAAATTTTCAACATGAGAGTTCTGGTATGTGTTTCACACACACACACACACACACACACACACTTCCGATCTAATTTTATATGACACGGAAAAAAAAAACATCCGAGATCCGTTCGAGATCTGTTCACTGTGTACTTCGATTTTACAATACTCGATCGCGTAATGCACAGAGATCGAGATCTGTATATAACTGTCTAATTTGATCTCTCTTTTGACGAGAAAAAATCCAGTGAACACATTTTAGAAATGAAAGGAATAGTTTCCTTATAAAAAAATGTGTGACAATTCTCAAATTAAACACACACACACACGCGGCTGTTAATTTATTTCGATCCGTGAATTTCGGTCAATCTGTTTTCTCTAAGTTACGTTACAAAATCGTTCGAAGGTGATGTTTGAGTCGGTGAAACATTGTTTAAACTTTGTTTGATTATTTTGCGATAATTGATGTTTATTCGATAATTTCTTGATTTATTCGCGTTTGTCAGCGTAAGATTGTCAGATTTGTTTATCGTCTTTGCAGAGAAAGAGAGGATATATTGTTTTGGGATTGGTTGTTTCATTGTCGCGTCGTTGTTTTTGCAGATCTGCCTGGTGCTGATTTCGGCGGCGTTCGCGACCGAAGAGAAGACGGTCAAGAAGCGCGGTTTGTATGGTTCTCTCGGAGACTACGGCAGTTACGGCGGTTACGGTGGTTATGGCAGTTATGGCGGTTATGGAGGTTACAGCAGTTACGGTGGTGGCCATGCGGCGGTCGCTATCGTAGAGAAGCCCACTCTCGCAATCGCGGTCCAGGAGAAGCACGTCCCTGTTCCCGTCGCGGTCCCGCATCCAGTTCCAGTTGACCGTCCCTATCCTGTTAAGGTACGATATTTTTATTTTTAAAGATCAATTTTTTTATTATCCCGAAACATGGGTTTAGCACCACCTGTTAATTGGTTACATTGTTCTTGGTTCTTACAGTTCATTTTTGTTTTGCTTAAATAATCTTTTACTCGCGTGATTTATTGAAGCAATTTTGATGAACAATATCGGTGAAATAAGTATATAATTTATTTAAAAAAAAAAAAAAAAAACACAAATGAAATCTCGTATCCGAATTCTTTGTTTTCAGGTCCCAGTTGCTGTTCCGCACCCGGTTCCGGTAGCCGTCCCGGTGCCACAGCCTTATCCAGTGGTCCACACCAAGACGGTCGCGGTTCCCGTAGAGAAGCCAGTGCCAGTCCCGGTTCCGGTTAAAGTGACAGTTCCCGCCCCGTACCCCGTACCCGTCAATGTAAAATATTAAATATACAAATTTATTATATTAGTTTTAAATATACATAAACAAACAAAATTCTGTACACACACACATATGTAATTAATCATGTAATTAATTAATTACGCTGTTTTCTTTTCAGGTGGCGGTCCCTCACGCAGTGCCAGTCGCGGTTCCACACCCAGTTCCAGTCGCGGTCCCGCATCCTGTCGTCGTCAAAGAAACGGTTCCCGTTTATGTTAAGGCTCACGGTCACTATTAGATGAATTATTTCTTCACACAATGAAAATGCCCATATCACCTCCCCCTCTCCCCCCCCCCAGCTCCGTCCTGACACTTTCATTCCCGTCTTAAAAAATCTAAATCTCGTTCACGACGAACGTGCTCGATTGAAACAAATTTTTTTTTTCGTCGTGTAGTACTTTTTGAATTAACGAAATAAATCACTTTTGTAAATGTTTTCATAAAAAAAAGCCTATTGTCTATTGTTTTTTCGTCGCCACTTTTTTACCCCATTTTTTTCCAGGAAAAATGAAAAAAAGAAAAAAATACTATTCTTTTACGACACGTTTATTTCTTATAGTGCGCAAGTAATCATTGAACACGTAATACGATACAAATGTAGTTAGGTTTGACTAGCTGAATGATTTGCGATCAGATACGCAACGCCAAAATTGTGTAGGAACAACGCTCGCGAGTTTCAACAAACTTTTGGAAATTGGATCTTAAGTATGTGAAAGCAGCGTGAAACTTGTATACTTAAACCAAATAATGTTGCGTTCGATGCGAAATGCGTGAGCGCGCATACACACACATCCGCACACAGACATATCGGCGAAGAAAGAACGTGTAATAATTCGCGAGACAACGAGACAACACGTGAAACGTGGAATTTTCGGCGATTTGATCGCGCCAGTCCGACGCTCGCGTTTACGTAATCGATGCACGAAGTAATCATACACATCACTTGTAAAGCACAAGGTAGCAACCGATAGCCGGTTTCCGGTGTGCGCAAATTCGCGAATATACATTCAAAAATTGCCGATTTAAATGATTTGCTGAATGCGTATTCTTATCAGATACACTTGAAAAGTGCTCAATGACGTAATTGCTATTGTTGCAATAATGTAATAATATAATATAACAATAACATCGTATCATAATTGGATTTCGTTGTAATTTTAATTGCGTGCGGAGCGCCAAATTTTACAGATCAAAAAACTTTACACGTTTATGTTGAAAAAGTGTGTGTGGGTATACAATGACTCTGAACAAATGTCACGAAAGTGACGGTGACTCTGACAAATGTCACATGCAAATTCGAATTATTTGTCTTTATAATGCACGGGCTGTCGTTTTTCTGTTTTTTCGTTAAGAAAAAACCTCGTGCGGTTTAACGCTTAATTTTAAAACGCGAGTTTGAATAAAAACGCGCGGACAGTATCTTCAGAAGATTCGATTAATTAATATATATGTATATACAGAAAGCGAGAGAAAAAGATAAAAAATCAGACGGCGCCTGATGAGTTTATATTTAATTATGCGCGATCGCGACGGTTTGTCGACCGGTGAGAAATTCAAAGGATGCGTTTTAAAACGACCTTGCATGCCATGATTTCGACGCCATCGGAGACTGCTCACAAAGTGGTCTACATTTTTTCGTGATGATTAAGCATCGAGGATTCCCCACGAATAATATATATTACTTTTTTCGACAATAAAACGAATATAAATTTATATCTTGAGAGAGTTGTTTTTATCTTGTTAAATCTCTTTTTCAATATGCATTCAAATGTGTTTTTGAGAAATTATAGCAAACATATTTTACGTGAATCGCGTGTATTCTTTATCTATCGGAATGTCAGAGAATTATAAATTAAACAAGATAGCGTTCCTCGTCCTTTTTGGGACCGAGAGAACAGGTGAAGCCAATTAACGAACGGTAAAATTATGCAAAGTTATCCGAAAAAAGATCGAGTCAGACTGAACTGTCAGACTGAACTTGTAAAAGAAAGCAAAAACATTGTCTGATTTCAAGAAATTCGCACAACTGTTAGCAGATCGCAAAAAATACAGAAAAAAAAAAACGACGACGTTTGTCTCTAACATCTTGCAAGTATATATTTGTAATATGTTACAAAAATAGTTAATTCTAATAATTAAGTATCACAATACATATAGTAATGTAAAAAATATAAAATAATATATAAAATAATAAATACAATTATATGTAAAATACACGTGAGTTTATACAAAGTAGAGTACGTCATATAATTAATATTAATAAGTGTTGTGTAATAAATGATCAAATATATAACTTTTGTTCTACATATTAAATCTGCGCAATTGATTAACACAATTATTTATTAAGTTTTTAAGATTTTGTTTGTTTGTTTTTTTTTTTTTTTTTTTTTTTTTTTTTTTTGTTATTTTTTACCACATGTAAATCAATATGTGACCCACGGACTCTCTCTGTTATCGAGATACGCAATCGTGTCTCTTTCGCGCCAAATTTATGCGCAACGACGAAACAAATTGCACGCATCCAGATGATATACAGTTTCCCGTTTCTGTCGCACACGCGCAAAATGTTGGCTTAAACAATGAATTTCGTTTGCGCTTCAAGGTGGACACGCATTTGCGCAAGACTTGCGCGAGCTTGCCCGGCCGTTTGCGAGCGACAAGAAGAGCGCGCGCCGCGTGAATTTTTCGGAGATCCCCTACTTGCGGGGCCCAGTTTCGGTTTCATTTCACTTAACCGCGTTTCGACAGCAGACCCACCGGTTGCCCACCACTTCACTCTTCTTGCCGTCTCTCCTTGAAGATTCATCGTATAAAAGCAGTGGGATTTTCATCGTATTCATCAGTCGCAACCACAACAAACCCGAAAACTGCAACTCGTGCACAACATTATGAACGCCAAGGTATATAATCGAGACGCAACACAGAGTTCTCTTCATTACAAAGTAACCGAAAGTTTTTTGTGTGACCGAGTTGCTCGCAAACAAAAAAAAAATCGAAAACAAATTTCATGAACTTCGAGCGAAGCTAATTGGGAAAGAAGTTAATCTTCCTTTTCGCCGAATCTTCCGTGTAAAGTCGTTACGTTTATTTTATTATTATTATTTTTTTTGATAATTGCACTCTTTTAAAAGCGTTCAAGTACATTCTTAAGCAATAGGAGCAAAGTATATCAGATTCATTCTCTCGCGTGTTCTTTAATTATTAAAATTACGGCCAATTAAATAGTTAAAAGGGAAGAGAGAAACAGAACGGAACGGTAAGAGAACCGATCGATGCAGACAGTGTTTTTTTTTTCTGGATTTGCAGGTAGTCGTGTTGTTCGCCCTGGTGGCTCTCGCTTTCGCCGAAGAGACGAAAACTGACGGGACGCAAAAGGTGGAGAACGCGAAGAAGGACAAGCGAGGTTTGTACGGCTCCCTCGGCTACGGCATTGGCGGTCTGAGCTACGGTTACGGCCTTGGCGGGCTGAGCTCGTACTCGGCACTTCCGATTGGCCTGAGCCACGGAGTCTCCACCGTTCTAACGAAAGAAGTGGCCGTGCCCGTGCCCCAACCAGTTGCCGTGCCCGTTGAGAAACATGTTCCGGTCCCGGTTAAGGTAATCCGATATATACTTGCCGTACGCGTCATTCCGATTCTCGTACAGTTCAAGAGTAGTACAGTATAATGCGCACACAATTACGCGCACGAACACGTTGTCGTCGTCGTCGTCGTCGTCGTCATCGTCGTCGACAGACTCGACTACTTGACGACGAGCAATTGGGACAGTTGTTTTCAACTATTTTACTGTAGCCTATCAGCATCGCGTGCTCTCGTGGAAAAAGAGGCGACATGTTTTTCCGTCAATCGATTTGAAAGCCGCAATTAGAAGAAAGCGAAGCGATTAATCAAATGAGAGACTTGCAGAGCGCGAACTGGTGGCCACTCTCGCGTCAGTAGTTATTTACTCTAGCTACTTCTGCAAATCGATTTCTCACGGTGATACGCAGATATTAGTATTGTAGCGCTCGCGATAATTTTAACGAGGTAAATGAAGCCACGCACACACACGCGCGCGCGCGTTTTTTCTCTGGTAATTCATGACGTCTTTCGACATTGAGTAATAAATCGAGCACGGTCGAGTTGCTTAGACGTCCGCTTATGCAGAATGGAAGTTGCACAATCCAAGTTCGAGCCCCGATAGCAATTATTCGTGTCGGCCGTAACAAGTAACGAGAGCACATGGATTTAAAAAAAACAGTGTCTTTAATGCGCAGAAGAGTCTAAAGTTCATTTTCTTTGTTGAACGGTCTCGAGATATATTTTAAAACAATGTGGAAAAGAGTTGACGATTAAATTGAAGAAATCAGCTAATATCCCGATAATTATATTTACAAACGAGCAATGAACGCGCGCGCAAGAACAGGTGTCTTCAATGCGCAAGAGTCTGGAGTCATTTTTTGTTAAACAAGAGAATGAGAATTTTGAAATATTCTGAGACGAAAAATGAAAAAAAAGTTTCATCAAATTGAAGAAATCGATCGGTATCCTAACTTTTTTCGTTCTTTGTTTTCGTTCTTCAGGTACCATACGCCGTGCCCGTCGACCGTCCGTACCCCGTTCAGGTGCCTAAACCCTACCCAGTCGAAGTCACCAAACACGTCCCCATCCCGGTAGATCGCCCCGTGCCCGTTCCCTACAGTGTTCCGGTGAAAGTGCCGATTCCCGCTCCGTATGCCGTCAAAGTGCCACAGCCTGTTGCCGTTCCCGTCGTCAAGCACGTGCCGGTTCCCATCGCCCAGCCGCTCATCTACAGTAAAATTCCTTCGAGCTTCGGATACATCGGAGGTTACAGCGGTTGGTAAATCGGCGATCTCGTGAAATTCTGTGAGCTTTACTCCTCTAATGTCAACGGAGCAGAGCACTTATTTATAACCGGATTGCACAGATCTTACCATAGATCGCCCGAAATTTCGGGAAAAGATCTCAGGAAACCTACTACGTTGATACACTTCGTTTTACTTTGTTTTTATATATATCGATGACAAAACGAACTTTTAGAATTTTGTGGATGTTTTGAGACTCCCTTCTGAATTTTCTTTTCTTGATATGAGAGAAAGTGCACGTGTTTTCTAAACAAAACAAAAAAAAAAAAAAAAAACGAATAATCTCTCCTGATCTTACGGAGAAAATTTAGAAGACACTATTCTGCGAGCAAATCGAGTGGTTTCGATCATGCACACACATACACTCACACACGTATTGGCGTGTAACCACTTAAATAATATTCTACGTAAATAAATTTTTCTATCTTGTAAGATATTTTGTAATTTGCACTAAAATTATTCAATATCGAAATAAATGATTTTCTTATAAAGATTGCGTTTTATTTTTATATTTACTCTCTCTCTCTCTCTCTCTCATTAATACTATTAATAATATAGTATGAAAAGAAAACGCTATTACATATAAATGGTTTATTTATTGTAACATATAACATGTACTATGCATTACAAAAATATTGTAACATTTAAAAACAACCAAAACTCAAAACATGAAACAACAAAAACAAAAACTCAACATCTTTCGAAATATACGTTAGTTGCCTGTCCATATGTGTATAAAAAAATACATAAATTATCTTGAATTTTTTTAATTAACCTCAAGATCAATTTTGATTTGTTGTTTTAACAGAAATAACAGCATCTTAATCTCAGCATTGTGCTACAGTCTTCTTCCTGTTATAAGTTTTTGTTATTAATATTTTTGGTCTAACTATATTTGACGTTAAATTAAAAAAATACCATATGTTTTATAAGAATAAATTATTTATGTATTATGTATGTATACAGAGTGTTTCCACAAAAACTGAATGTTGCAAATAGAATTACATAAAATTTACGTAAAATTTAGACCAACAATTTTTTTAAATTTTTATATTTCACGAATAACATCCAGAATATTGCGAGTTAAAATCTGATTTATGTATCGAGATGGCCTCATCTTTATGCGTTCTATCTCCATTACATATTTCACAATATATCCCGGTTATATTATTATTCATCGCGAATTTCAAAACATATAAATCACTTTTTGTGATTTCTTTACGTAAAATATGCAAGTTTATTTGTAACATATTTAGCATAGAAACAGCCTCTGTGTGTGTACATATAAAGTTTACCACAATACGTTCTTCAAAACGACATATTTCACAGTTTATAAAAAAAAATAAAAAATTGCTAAAATCTACTGTTTTAAATGTAACTTTATACATACATGTATATATATATACATATATATATACTTACCTCTTTCTACTATTTGTCTCTAAATGTACGTAATTGATAAAGACAGTACTTTAAAAGTGAAATTTATCTTTACCGTAATTTACATATCGACTCATCAATCAACTGCAAGTGGAATAAATCGAGCTTTCAAAAAAAGCATTATGTAAACTGCTCTTGCTTGAATTATTTCATCATTTCGTTTTCAAAGTAGCCGTCTCGAACGTATTTACATCGTATGCTTAATAACTTACTTCACTTCTCGATTCACTTTTCCTTTTAATCTTTTACGAGAAAGACCTCGCGCTGCCATAACAAACCGTACCTGTCGCATTTCGAAAGTTAATGATCCGCCGAGTAATCAGGCTGAGAAGACTGGTAATGGGCCTGGTCGTCGCCTTGATGCTGATTGTAGGCTTCGTGGCCTTGAACATTGACGGTGTAAGCACTGTATCTGGATGACGCGTCGTGACCGACATGATCGCCATTAGATCCAATGGGAATATGACCGCCGCCCTCGTGATCCGATTGCGGGATCGGGATCGTCTTCGGCACCGGGATAAACACCGGTTTGGTCAAGGTGACAGTATGCGGCACCGGCACGGGATGCGGAATAGGCACTGGTTTAGATATCAAGAACGGCACCTAAAGCAAATATAATTACCCTATAATTATTCTTTATAGGAGTCATTAGATATAATATTACGTTTCGAACGCAGAGAAAAACTAGTAATAAAATTTATTACAAATTAACCAATATAGATAATGTTATCTACTTAGAAAACCTTTCTAACGCATAAAAAGCTCAATTTTTTATCCAATTCTGTGTTATTTTAAATTTTATAAAACGGTTTTAAATAAACATTAATAATAAAACATGCAGAGTACTTATAGATTTACATATTACACAATAAAAAATGTTTTTGCTAAAACTATTAGTAAAGTTGAAAATTTGTTCTGTTTAACAATGAATACCTGCTGTTGCAATTGTATCGGAACCGGCTTCTCAAACGGCACTGGCACGTGCTGCGGTACTTTCACTATTTGCGGTACCGGAACGGCCACGGGATGTTTTACCGGCACCGGAAATGGAATATGATGGGGAACCTGGAGAAAGGAATCAAAATCGATCCGATACGGATGAAAAGTTTTGTATTTCGCGCATTTCTCTACTGACGAGAGAAATTATATTTCAGAATAAATTTTATTCTTCTCCCAGAAAGGATACAGTATAGTTTTATAATAAACACACAATAGTTTTATAAATAAATTTTTTTTTATTTACAGACAAATGTGTTTAAATAAACTAGAAGATATAAAGAATAAAAGTATTTTACAAATATACAAGTATGTCGCACAAAGTTATGAGTTACGATCATATGCGCGTGCGCGGTCATTATCCTCGATCGTTAACGGTTTTAAGTTTTCATTTTTTTTTGTTTTTTTTTTTTCGTAAGATCGCTCACCTTAACGGGATACGGCACTGGAACTTTAATGGCTACCGTCTTGGTGACCTTGATGACCTTGGTCGGCACTTCGCTCAGATGTACCGACTGCGAGATGAGCTTGGGCTCTTCAAGACCGTGACCTTGGTGAAACGAAGGCCTCGCCATGACTGTTGCAAGTGCAAAGAAAATCTGCAAAGACAAACATCGTGAGAAAATGTAACAAGTTTCTTATTAAAACAAAAACAAAAAAATACTTTTTGATGTAATATTATTTACAGTTTTGCGAGCAAAAATTTTTTTCAATTCTCAAAGGAGAACAGAATTGATTGAACTTGTCGCGAATTTGCGGGGCAACATTTTCGAAAACGCGGCAAAATCTCGAAATTTTTGTCGTTCGCAAAAAAAAAACGAAAAAATTAATCCGCAAGATACTTTCGACGCGGAAACGAGACGAAGAGAAACGGTGAAAACTTACAACTTGCAATACGATCCTCATCTTGTGGTCTCGGAGAGTGAGATTAGATAGTTTTTCAATGAGGCAAGCTGCATCGACTATTGTGGAATCGTCTATACCGTGGCTTATATACGAAGACCTTCACCAACTTTAGAGTGTCAGTTCACCACGAAGAAAGCACTCACTCTCTTTCCGACCGATCTCTTTCGCTCGCAATCTCTTTCTCTCTCTTTCTCTCTGTTTTTTTATAATTGTCCTTTTTTTGCGATTTATCTCGCGTTGTTGCAGGTTCGATGACCCGGGCAAACGAGAAGTTCCGATAGACGCGATACAAAAAAGAAAAGATATCCGCAAGAAACTCCGGATAAGGATTGAAATTGAGAATGACAGTCGTAACAAGGCATATCCTTGCCGATTAAAAAGACGTGCAACAGTTTATGACATATTTCACAAAAAATAAATACAGGTACTATTTAGAAGCAGTTAAATCTACGCTAATTTTACACACATTATATGTGTATATTACATTGGTGGTGGTGTGTATGTATTGTGTGTGTGTCAATTAATAATACATGTTGTATTATTATAACAATATTGTTGTCAATTTCTGTAGAATCAAATATCTATCTCTATTGCATACTTTCTAATTCAGTATTTGGTTAAATAGAGAAAAAAGAGAGAAAATAAATGTGTAATTATAATAATTTTAGTTCAGTTGATAATTAATTTGTTTTCTCCAAAAAATTATTTATTTGACACTCAACGTTTGTTATAAATACAAAATTTATAACCGAGATCAATTACGGAGACGCGCGCAAACAGTTACTTATAAGAGTATTGCACGGTTCGTTAGATAATCTTTTCCGGATGTGGGAAGAAAGGAACAAACTTGCACATACGAACTAACAATTTCTAACGGAGATCGTATACCAATTTCCGGTGTGCATAAATGTAAAGTTTAAATGTGTGGTTCGCGGGGAGTAAAACGTTTGGTAAAATGCGGAGGAAAGTGAAAGGATTACCATTGAAAGGAACTTCAAAATATAATAAGAGACTTCGCGATCTTATTCAGTTTGGCTGCAAATTTGTTGTACAAACATACGTTTAGAAATTTGTTTTTACATAAAAGTACAATTTTTGATTATAAAAAGAATATTTTATTTAATGAACTTTATTTCATTATAAAAGTTTATTAATATGTAATATGTAATTTCTAAAAACGTGATAAAGCACACACATATATCGTATCATATTATCGCAAAGTTATTTTTCAAATATTGCGCGCAAAACAACGTTGCTTTAATTCTCATAAATCTTATCGAGCGAGTGGGATTGCAACTCGCTCGCGATGTATCTCGGTGTTCGTGTTACAACGCTCGGAGAACCGGGCTCGAATCCGCTTCCCACACTTTCGAAGAGAACAAATGATACCTCGCCTCTCTTTACATAGAATTACCATTTCAGGCGTACAGGACAAAAATATAAAATTAGAAAAAGTAGAATATTTGAATTCAGCAGACATTGAAAAAGTTTCGCAAATTTTCACATTACCAGAAACGCAATTACACACGCACATAAACAGAGGAAAGGATTAATTTCAATGAAGTGAAAGTATAAACCTTTTATTTCAGTGACAAGGAATCGACGTTTACTCTGCTCTCATGCATCATGTTTTGAGCCGCTTTTGCAAAAATAATCACTTTTACATCGTCTTCGCGATAAATCAAGTTGTATCTCGCTAAGTGCTCATTTTGTATAAATACAATCAAGAGGTTTTTTGTTAATGAGGAAGGGGAAAAGATTTATTCCGCATTATGCCGAACCGAATCGATTTCTCGATTAACGTATTTCTCTCTCTCTCTCTCTCTCTCTCTCTCGATCTCGACGCTTTCACGTATACACACGCACGTGCAAGCGTTCATCTCGATGCGACGTAATGGATTGAATAACAATTTTATGTTAAAAAGTAATATTCAAAAACTGGGTCAGTTTTTCAGAAGTATATATTGTAATATACAAAAAGAAAACAAGAAAAATCAGAAGAAAATATTAAAGAGATACATTTTGTTTCTTTGTATATATATTAACAAGAAGAATCCGATGTAATAAAAGAATCGATACGTGATTCTGTTTTCCATTTTCATCTCTTTTTTTTTTTAACAAACGAGTCTAACCGGATATGATTAAAATATCACGAGTTTCAAGTCAAGACATCCCACCAAGGTTATGCGAGTAATTTATAACTTTGTAGCGCTTCGCGTAAAAGGTATATAACTCGATCGACTGATTTTAAAAGAACTATTTGACCTTGTTAAATGTCTACATTAAAATTATCTAGATTTGAATATGTCTTATGCAAGTATGCCAATTTTATAATTAAGTATCATCTGCTTTTTTCTTTTCTTCGTTTCTCGATTTTATTTATTTATTTTTTTTTTTTTGCAAATTCTTTTGCAACTGACTTTATTGTATCGTAAACACGTCGCGCGCGATCATTGCTGTAATATCAAAAAATTATTGAAAAAAACAGAACTCTTTCATGCAGAAAAATTATTATGTATTACATAACTGTCCGTTTCTTGTTCGATAATCTTGTCATCTTGTTTTTACTTAATGCAAAGGGACGACAATTGGCTTTTAGACAGATATGTGTGCAAAGTGCTTGAGTTCTGCGTACGTTGAGGGAATCGACGACTTTCATTCGACGATGCTAAAAACGGTTGTGCTAAAAACATCTCACCCGTACCAATCCTCTTATGTCAAGTTTATATTTCACGCTTGCTTTCATTCTCTCAAGCGAATCGAAATACGAAAAAAAATTGTCGAAGAAATAAAAAAAACAAACCACAGTTGAAAACACAGTAAATTTCATTGCTTTGTTCATTATTATGTGAGATAACAAATTACGCATTGAAATTTTTCTCTAGGAAAAAGGAAGTGCGCGCATTTCTGAAAAGTAAATTTACTTACAATTTAGCAAATTATTACCGCAAATAATTTATGAACAAGCTACAAATTTTTTTGTAATGTATAGGACACTTCAATGTCGACAGCTACAGAGGAATTATAATAAAGTATATTTTCGAACGTAATCCGACGTGTCGTTGTGGTCCGTTGCACATGTATGTAATAGGGTGTAGCTCCTGCATGTTGCAAAAAAAAAAAAAGAAAGAAACGTTCTAAAAGTCATCGCTGTCGAATAGCAAATTTATAAGCGGTAGCCTTGTTCCAGCGACATTTTGACGAATTAGCAAGTTTCAATTTCGAGTTTTATTTATAAAACCAGTCTCAAATGGAGAAATTTAATCTATATTTTTCAGTTCGCTTGTAGTTGTTCTTCAATCACGATTCTATTTTTACTGTATATGAAAAATCTTAATAACATTATGACAAGATGACTCGTATAAAGTAATGTTATTAATTATTTACACAAATTGTGAGAATATGTAAAATAAATTTTTTTTTACAAAAAATATATAACACAAAGAGGAACGTGTATAATGGCAATTTTTTTGATGTTTTTGTAAGTGAAAATATTAAAAAGGTTTGGAGATGAATCTTGAATTTTTTAAAATAATAAAATAAACGAGATGTTTATGCTTTTTACTATACGTCGAGACCATGTTGCAAATATATATATTTTTTTTTGAAAATAATTATGTATTTTTTCTTTAAGTTGATTCCTCTCAGTATTATATTTTGTGCATAAAAATATTGAGGTAAGATAAGATCGAAGATGAAATATTTTACGAGATATATTTTATAGTTTGTGTAAAATTACGTCAAATTAAAAATATCTCGTAAACTACTCAATTTTTGAGCATCCCATCTGGCATTATCTCATAACTTTTTAAAAATATTGTGAGAGAAATCAATTTATATAAATTAAAGTGATTTTCATTTAAAAAAAGAGTCAGATTGATCTTGAAATCTCTTTCATCTGCAAAAACTCGTTTTCATCATACGATGTTTTTCTCTCTCTCTCTTTCTGTATTAAATAAGTTTTGTTTAAAAAGTTTATTTTTATACATATTCTCATACCTCTTGCAAATATTTATACATCGATCGTGTCATACGAATCAATCTGTATGTGTTATCACAGCACATTATGCGATGTAATATTGTAACATAATAAATTTATTATCTGCAGCCTTATCGAAAAATGCGTGTAACTCGGAAAAAAACAGATAAAAAAAGAAAAGCCAATGACTGACGCGTTGCGCAAAGTGTCAATAAGTTGTTTGCACGAATTATCATTGAATATGATTTCCATAGATTTAGGTTTTTATTTTCTGACCAAAAGTGAATGTTCGTGAAGGAATCTGCTGTATTTTTTCTTAAAGATTCTATGTATACAACGGCAAAAATACACGCACACACACACACATACACACACACACACACACACACACAAAGAGATATTCATGTCGGTTGCTATTGGTACTGCTGCTATAAATTCGATGTTATCTACCTCGAGATTTCAGAAAGCAGTGTGAAGTTTCGAAAAGCGAGCGAACGACGAGGTATCGGTAGAGTCCATTAAAAAATCATCTTCCAATGCCACCAGATTGCGACATGTGGAAGAAGACGCGTTCGGGAGAAGAAAGGAGGATCCCGGATTTCGGAGTATAAAAGGTCGAGATATCTGTGGACAGATGCTCAAATCATCTTGACATCACACGGCTAATATGAAGTTTTACGTGCTGGTAAGAAACTATCTCATTTTTGTTCCTATTTCCGAAAGTTCTCGTGACAGAAGTTTTCACATTTTTTTTATCAAGTACATTCTTAGATTTCAAGTGACAACTTTTGCGCGCTTTAATTTCTTTCTAGTTAGGTAGTTTTTGTTAAAATATATTTAATTAAATGGTTCTTTTTAAATATGTACATCGTTTACATTTTGTATATATAAAATATATAATACACGATAATTAATTAGCATTAAAAAAGTAAGAATATAAACGATACTTATTTTATGTATTTTACAAAGCAAATAAATTAAACATTAAAATATTCAAATTTTTCCAGATCTGCTGCGCGGCTGCTGTAGCAGCAGCACCTGCTGACAAACAGAAGAGGGAAATTTTGCCAGGAGACCCGCGTTACGGCACCGACTATCATCACCATCATCATCATCACGACAACGATGTACAGACTGTAAAAGCCGCCGGCGGTTACGCGGGTTCTTTTGCGGTTCCGGACACGGAGGGCCGATCGCACCAAACATACTCGTCCTACGGACCCCCGAACTATCAATCCGGCACGCCGTTGAGCTTCGAACAATCGGCAAACGATGCCACCAAAACTTCCGCCGCTCAAGTTCCATCCACTTCTTATGGAATACCCGATACCTTTCAGGTAATCAGATAATTTACGATTTATTGACAGACTGAATAAAGACTTGAATAAAGTTAAATAGTTAATAATAAAATGCTATTGTATTTTGAATTTGTTTGAACCATTTATTTTTTTCTGTTTCAGAATATTAACAACAATTACTATCTTGGACCTGTCGACGAAAAAAATCCCACAGTCAAGGTATATCAAATTATTAAATAAAAAACATAAATTAACATTCTATTTTTCTTTTATTGTCAATGTTTTATTGTCAATATGTATATAATTGATTTTATTATCTTATTACTGTGCAGACGAGCACTTTGAACGTCGATTACCAGCTACCATCCGTTGAAGCGCCCATTTCTTACGCTGCTGATCTTAAAGTGAGTATTACTCGAGCACAACTATAACTGGGTTCCAGTTAAAATAAATAAAGTAATAAATAATTTCACAGTTTTGATAAATTTAATCTAAATTTATGTTTTACGTATTTTTTTATTTTTTATTTTTAACCTGAGGAACACGTTCATCTTTCACAAAACTCGTACCAAACTCCCGTGGTAAAGGTGATGTGTGTTTTAAAATTAAAATTTTATTTGTGTTATATAATTTCTTATATAATTTTATATATATTGTAACTTGTATTTTTTATCGTATTTTCAAAATTATTTTTCCTATCACTTTATTACACACTTATTGGTTTTCCTGTTTATATCTACTTTAATGTCTCTCTTTTCGAAGGAAACGCATGTGCAGAGCAACGCGGCAGCCGTTTCCGAGGCGCAGCAACCGACGGTCGCTCAGAAGAATTTGGAAACTGTTCGGCAAGTGAAGGTGACATCTCAGTCTCAAGGTAAGTGTTGATTTACACAAACGCATTATTTCGACACGACGATGACGATTTCTCCTAAATTAAAATCTGGACTTGTAAATATCTATGTAAATGTAGTCCGCGCCCATCGCACAAATTACGTGATATCCCACGGAGACCGGGCGCGGTTGAATAATCTTCGTCGAGGTCGCTCAAAAGTCGTATAAAAGTATTCCACTTCTTGACATTAACGCGAAGCCACGTCGTAGCGAATATAAGTCACCCTTTTTAAACGAAAACGAATCCGCGATGTATGCGCGGCATTAATATTCATCGAGTGTGTTGCATAATTAATTAACGACATCAACCTTTTCCACTGTTTCTTAATATTTAGCTACACATATGAATTATATACGTGTGCAACATATACGCGCGTACAAACAGATTCTTTCTCTCTTCTTAAAAGATAATATATCAAAAATATAAAAGTTTTATATATTAATTTAAATATACATACGTTACATATATTTATTTGTTCCTTCCTGAAGGAGCTCATCAGCACACTAGCGGGCCCATCTTCACCATCCCTTCGCTCAGCTACACTTCGTACAGCAGCATACCCGTGAAGACCGTGGACCGCCATGTGCACGTGCAAGTGCCACAGCCGTATCCCGTGCCGATAACCAAACACGTCACGGTTTCCGTTCCTGTGCCCCAGCCCGTCGAAGTGCCGAAGGCCTATTACGTCCGCGTGCCCCAACCCGTTCGGATCACCGTGGACCGTCCGTACCCCGTGGAAGTGCCGCGCCCGGTGCCGTACACCGTTCCCCAGTACGTCAGAACCAACGTTCCGGTTCACGTGACCACATTCGAAGCGATAAAAGGAAACAACCCGTTCGAAAACTTCTTGTCCAACATCCCGACTTTCGGACAGAACTTCCCTTCGTTGGACAGCTTTCCTTTTCCCTGGAACTTTCCGGGTTTCCCTGGATTAGATTCGTTCCTACCAAATCAGCAACCAACCCAGCAACCAACTCAGCAACCAACCCAGCAACCAACTCAAACTCCGGGAGCGAGTCAATCCGACGTGCTGTTTTCGGCCAACACTGACGGGGTCGCGGTCGAGAGTCCGACGACGAAAACCGAAGTTGTACCTAAACCCACCGTCGTGCAGTCGGTGAAGATTCAACAAACGCAGGAAACATACAAGCCGAGCACAGCGTGCGCCGGATGTTCCGTTACGAACGCTCAGCCAACAAAGCTGAACGACTTGGCGCAGCCCACGAAGTTCGAATCTGAGCAGTCACCCACAAATCAGCAGGAATACGTGCAGCCCACTGACGCCAACGGTGGTTACGTTTACTAGAGAGTTGTTTGTCGTAAAAAGAGGGACGTTGAACAAGGCTACTGAAATTTGTTAGAAGAAATCCACTGAAGAAAGGATTACAACAATCTCTTGTTTTCCCGAAGTGCTCGAGTTGATTGAGAAAAGTTCTATGCTTTTCTAACAGCTTATTTTATCATATTTAGATATAAAAGTGAATGTTTTGATCTTGCAGTAAGATGATTTCTTTAATAGCGCGCGTGCGCGTTTCCAGTACCTATTCAATTGACTTGAAAAATTCGTATCGGAACAATTTCTCTTTCTCTCTCAATTTCTTCTTTTCTCTTTTCTTCTAAGCATAATCCGTGAAAAAGATCTTAATTTTTAAATGTTTCTCTTATTTGAGATTTTATTTTATTTATTTATTTTTTTTTTTTTTACTGGAAAACAAGCTACATCCAAGATTTGAGTAATTTATTTTACTCGATTGTTTAAATAAATCTTCTTGTTTTGAATCCTTTCGTTAGTCGCTCCTTTGTAATAGCGATTTCGGCTGGTTTGCACCGACTGCACATTTCGGGTGTCGGTGCAAATTGTGTGTTCGGCTGGTCGAATGGCAGCAGTTCTTTGCTGGTTCCGCGTATTCGTCTGAGCTCAGTACACCGCATAGGTGCATGTTGAGTTTACACAAAGTGGCTCTCACAAATTAGTCGGAGCCAGTTAGTGTAATCAGTACACACACCGATGCGGTGTTGCACACAATTGCACCAACTCTACACAGGTGGCACACCGGTGCAGACCAGCCGAAATCGCTATAAGTAGCATGATTCTCTATGGCCGCGGATAGGAAGAAATCTTCCAACAAATTGACAAAGACGTCTTATATGAATGTTCGAAAGTCAGAAGAATATTGACATCAGAGAGAAAAGTTGTACATATACGATTTCGTTTACGTAAATAAAGTTCTCTTTTATTACAAACGTCATTGAATTGGTTTTGATTCTTCGTAAAAGTCACTCACATCGGTGCGAAAAGTTTCACAATTAATAGCGATTTCGGCTGGTCTACACCGACTGCATATTTTGGCATATGTTGGTGTAACTTGTGTGTTCGGCTGGTCGAATGGTGCAGTTCCTTGCCTGGTGCCGCGTATTCGTCTGAGCTCAGTACACTGCATAGATGCATGTTGGGTGTACACAAAGTGGCTCTCACAAATTAGTTGGAGCCAGTTGGTGTGGTCTCGTGTTCGGCTGATACACACTAGCGTGGTCGAAATATCCAGTGCAACACCACATGAGTGTACGCACTGCACACTTGCACCAACTCTACACTCAGGTGGCACACCGATGCAGACCAGCCGAAATCGCTATAAGTAAGAGTCTCTCTCGAGATTCGTCGTCGCAACGATAATTGAATTATATTACAGCAATGTTGCGTCTTTCTTTTATCGTTGAAATTAAAACGCGTTTCACTGATCGACGGCATCAAATGGCTAAGCATCAAGTTGTCTCTCCTCGGCCGAAGATATCACTACCATAGATGACACTTTTTCGGAGGATTCATGTACGATCCTTCGGGACAGTTCCAGGCGGTGCTGAATTCCTTGGAGTTTCTCAGCACCGCTTGAAGTCTCACGTGGCCGGGACAGTGACTGTCCTCCAGCATCCATTTAAGCGAAGACGCGGTGTACGACTCGCACCACAACTGAAATAAAAAAATATATCTTTTATTTTCAAAAAAAATTAAGTAAAGGAGAGTTTCTTTTAGAGGATAGATCGTTGATCCTACGTGTCCGAAGGCGAGAAACAGCAGCTGTTCGTGCGTCAAATGCGTGAGTCCCGGAAGCAGAGGTTCCTTATCGTGTCTGGTCTTCCATCTCGCGTAAGCAACGACGGCCTCGCGAAGACCGCCGTTGTCGGCGATGTTCTCGCCCAGAGTCAGTTCCCCGTCGATGTAATCGTCAATCTGCCGATTGTATAATATCGGTTATGTCAATATAACAATAGCACATGTGTAAAAATTAATAATGGCATTCGCTCAATGTTTATGTGTGTGTGTGTGTGTGTTGCTTGCCTCGTTCTCGTAATAAGTGTTGTAGTGATCGATGAAGCACTGGGTTCTGTCGGTGTATTCCGAGATGGTGTTGTTGGTCCACCATTGGCGGAGATTTCCTTCGCTGTCGTAGTGCCGACCGAGATTGTCGAAACCGTGGGTCAATTCGTGCCCGAGTATCGAACCGATGGCGCCGTAATTCAAGGCCCTGAAATTTTGAAAAAAAAAAAAAATCGACAATGTTTAATTCAGCTTTAAGTGTGTTCGTTTAAATAATAATTCGCTGTTATTTGATTTTAATAAAAAAAAAAAACACGAAGTAAAAACGTATATTTCCATTCTTACTCGAGACCCAATTCATAGAACGGGAATTGAAGAATTCCGACGGGTATGGCTGCGTGAGTAGGCGTAAAAACAGAATACATGTTAATGCAATGCGCGCATCAAAGTTTGTGACGCACATTAATCAAAGAAAGATGCTAATTTTTATCGATTAATTTTCTAATTAAACTCATCTTTTACGTGAAAAACATGTCAGTCTCTTTACGTACTTATTTGATTAACATGAAAGGTGTGGAACGCGTTTACATCAGTAGGATCGGTCGTCCAGCTGATCGGATCCATGACGACAAAGTGAAACGTGAATAATAAAGCTTTAACACATCGCCGTTTTCGTTCTCTGACAAACATTCTCGCGAGTTCTACTTACTAAAGCTTGTTGTCCAGATTATTATTGTCGCGCAAGCTCGCCCACGTGGCGTTCCAAGACAGACGAACGATCTGCACCATGTTCTCCAGGTATTTTGTTTCCGACAGGTCCACCTAATAACATAACACAAAATGCAAAAACGCAATGTTCTTCCTCTTCTAGATTTTATAGTTTTTTATATCAATTGTTTCTTACGCCTTTGTAATATTCGTCGAGTTTCTTTTTGTCGAAGAGCCACTTGGGAAATCCAATTTCGGAACTCATCTTCCGACTCTTTTCCAGGGTCGCCGACTTCGTCGTCTCGTCCATCCAGTCCGTTCTGCTGACGAGCGAGACAAACGCCTCTCTTATGTCTTCGACCATTTCGCGCACTTTATAACCTGTTTTGGTCTGAAACGTTGGATCAACAAATAACCACGACACCGCCATTCCTGAAAATCCAACAGAAGAAACTTCATTTCCTCGCAAAATATATATATATATATATATATATATATATATATGTATGTATTATACGAGATATATATTGTATACATACCCATCAATTGATTCACAGCCGATGCGCAATGCAAAGATTGGGATTCACCTATTTCTACCTGCATCACTTTGTTCACATACTCGTTCCAAGCGTCTCTGAGCTTTTGGGAAGAGTGAGGCGTCGCCATATCCACGACGACCCACCAAATGTAACTTTCTGAATTCAAATTAAATAATAATAAATGTTTTTTTATACAAACACATACGGTTAGATAAATTAAATTAGAAAATTGTGGATAAACAAGTTACACACCCAACACTTCCTCCTCGGAAGCAGCGAGTATCAGCGCCACGTCTTTCAAGTAATTTAAATTGCCGACAAGCACTTTGTCCTTGTTATCGAGATCCAACGTCACGATCTGCTCGAAGACCGACTCGATGAAGGGTCGCCAAATCTGTTTGGGAACAAGAGTCGAGTTGATGCTCGTCACGTATTCGTCCGTCAACTTTTGAAGATCGTCCACCAATATGTAATCATCGTCGCTCAAATCATCCTCGGAAACGCTTCTATTTTGATCCTCACGAATCATCTGCAAGAGTGAAATTTTTTCAGTTACGATTTCAACGCGAGTTACTAGTTGTTCGTGTGTTTGTATTTTTAATTTTATTTATTAAATTGCATAGATCGAACGTTTCGATCAATTTGTTGGGATCTTCTTCTTCAACGATTAACAAAAAATTAAAAATTAAAAAGTCGATAGCAGCACATTATATGCGAAGAATAATTTAAATTTTTTTTATTTATAAAAAAATGATTTAGTCAAAGGAATAACATAAAAAACGCTGTGTCAACTAAAATCACAGAAGAAACTTTCAACGTACATTGCTACATTTTGTTCACGTGTAAAATCATTGAAATTTCGCATTTATTTAATTGTAACGAATAATGTTAAAAAAAGTTTTTCTTTTTTAAATATTCGGAATAAAAACAACTACTTACGTAATAAAGGACGCTGCTAGTGTCGTAAATCGTCTCGACGAATTCCGCTAGTATCTCCGTTTTGAATTCGCTTTCCGTGATGCAGGCATTAACAGTGCCGTTGCTGATGATCTGCTTGATGACATCGGTCATGTAAACCAATTCGGCGTCTTCGTTTTCGTCCAGCATGGATTCGTCGTCCAGATCTTCCAGCTTTCTCAGACGCGATCTGATGGTCCGCAGACGTCTCTCCAATTCTTTATCGCTATTGTCAGAAGTCGTTACTGTAGATATATTTGTTTATGCTATAAGTCTTTAAAAAATTAAAATATATTTATACGTTATTCGCAAAATTTACATGTACACAGTACATTTCTCTTCTCTAATTTTAAAAATAATACTTAAATTAATAATAATAATAATAATACTTTTTTTTATTAGTAATAATTTTTATTAATTTAAATAAATAAATAATTATAACAATGACACTAGCGCGTTTCAAACCCGAAAAACATCTTTGTATGTTAATAATTTAAATAAGTATTTACATGCCTGGGAAATGGACTGCCCTGCTCCGGAACGTCGAGGTAGAGTACGTTTCTGCTATTGTTTCTCGGATCGGGCATTATGTCGAAACCGAAGAAAATGTCACGGCCCAGAATTCTCTTCACCTTGGCGCTCTGCTCGATGTAATTGTCAGTTTTATTGGTGAGAGCCGCCGGTATCATCGGCAAATTCAACAACTCCAACAGATCGATCAGCGGCGACAGATCGAGCTCGTTCATCGATCCTGAAATTTTATTAATTCACAATCCTTTCTCATTTTTTTACTTCGTCGAAATTACGAATCGTAATAGCTGCCCTTATCGGCTCTCTGTAACTGACCAGAAACTCAAAATTACAACGTACGAGTGTCCATACAGCTGGTAAACAGCGTCTTCGTTTGCATCACTGCCCGCGGTACTTGACCAGCGGACACATTGACCTTCAACAGTTCTCGGATCTTCCTGGACACGCGATCGCTGCGTTCGCTGAACCAGGAATTCGTCAGACTGGAGTCCGGAATGGGATGTTCCTGCGACCATCTGCCGCACGCGTATCTGAGAGAAACAATTTGAACCATAAAAAAAAAAAGAAAACAAGCGATTTTACATCTTACAAAAACAAATTAATATACCTAAGTTAATTAATTATTTAATATATAGATTTTGTCTTGCAACACACATGACAATGATAAATTCTTTTCTCTAGCGAACGCGCGCATTAAACTTCGTGGAAGCTCGTTTCATTCAGGTTACTGAAAGTGGAGCGCACGAAGTGATATTTTACGTAATGGAAAAACGGTCGGTCACGATCTGATAGAATTTCTGATAAGTGCTTTGTGAAACTCGAATCAAAAAACAAAAAAAAGATAGTCTGTGTGTGTGTGTGTGTGTGTGTGTGTGTGTGTGTGTGTGTGTGTGTGTGTGTGTGTGCGCGCGTGCGCGCGCGCGCGCGTTTACGTGATTGGATGAGCTGGAAATCTTATGAGAAAGATGTTTTTTTTGTTTTTTGTTTTGGTTTTTAACGTCGAAAACAAAACTCTTCTACTCTACCATCCACATTATACACACAGGAAAACGATCGACTTACTGATAAAAATCATCGCATGGATCTACAGAAGCGTTCATAGATTCCTTCAAACTAGCAGCTTTATATATGCAAATAAGAGAAAAATATTAATTATTATTTCTCCAACTTTCTATTGCTAAGTAACTTTTCGCACACATTTTTGCACAATTTTATTATTTCTCTCCCACAATGGTTACTCGTGTAACGCAATAAGCGTTTATTCGCTTTCCTTTCTCTCAACAATATATATATATATGTATAACAAAGTTACAGATTTCAGATTACTCACCTATTCGCACGCAATCTTCGCTATCGCATATTTTTATCACGCTGATGCGCACATCTGCAACAGACAGACGGATCGACGCGTAATTATTGTACGTGTGCCGGCGATTAAGCGCTTTTTAAATATATTTTTATTAAAAATATATTTTAGATGAGTTGCGTGTGTTTTTTCTTGCGACAAAGTGATGCTTCGTCAATTACTCGAGATCTGAAATCTTCGTGTCTCGATATCTTTTCGAGAGAAAAAAAGTAATACATCTAAATAATATCCGATCTGACCAAAATATCTAGATTAACTTACAGGGAAAAACAACTATGGATTATTGCGTATGAATAATGACAAACACGTGTCGGGAACCTGTTTCATAACACACTACCTGCGCGCACGAGTCATAGTCGTGTGTCTGCTGAAATATTTATGCAATGTCAATGGCGATCGAAGACACTTAACTATTTTCTCTGTCACAATTCGTCAAAAATGCAAAATGTAAATTGCGAATAAAGAGAACATGTTAAAAGCGTGTTAAGCGATAGAGTTGACGCATCTTTTTGAATAAAAACCCAATTTTTATGTTTGTCTAATTAAGTTATTGCAAGATTTACGGCGCATTATTTTGTTATTTGTTTATTATTTATTGTTAAAGCAAAAAAAAAAAAAAAGACTCACAAAGTATCGCGAGCACCACAATTGTGATGATCAGGGGAAGACCCGCGAGGACGAGCAGGAATATCATTTGTAAGTTGGTAATTCGGGTCCGCTTTTTAAGGCTGCAAATACAAAAAATTTCGATTGAAAAAGCGTAATCGTAGGTAATTCAGAAAAAAAAAACATTCTTAAAAACAAATATCTGTAATCTTACTAAGTGTATCTGGATCTTATCGGCACCAATTGGTCTTGGCTTCCGACTGAGTAAACGAACGTCTCATCCTCTAAGGAGAAATAAAAACGCGCGTTAGTAAAAGTCGTTCGTGTGTGAGAAAATCAGATGTAAAAAAAGCTTATATCTTTCTCTGTCAAATAAAAATATAAATATATCAAATAAAATTAATTTAAAGCTTTAAATATATATATAAGCTTTAAATTAAGCCAAGAATGAAAATATGATCAATAAATTCCACCGCTGTTGACATTGAACAAACAGAGAGATATTGATTTTTTATTATTGCAAGTAAAATATGCGCGATATTTTGAGCGGACAGTGAAAAAATATGAAAATTGCGAATAAATTTACGATTCGCACTGGTTAATCTTTTGTTTAACAATTTTATAAAAATTTAACAGTTAATAAAAACATGGTGTAAAACTGTCTTTTGTTTTTTTTTTTGTAACAAAGTACAATCTTGACAAAGCAGAGTACAAGAGAGGTTGTGCGCGCGTGTGTGTTAAAAAAGATTAACGCGTGTGCACCAGGAAAGAAACGACAGAAACGGACAAGCGGGATGTAAAAATGATAACTCACTGCGTTCGTTATTCATGCTGAATGGCCCACTGACCAGATCGAACTGACGACACTGAACATCGAGTTGGACAGACAACCACGGATGTCCATACGTTCACATTTACCCAGTGGTTCTCGTGCCCCCGTCGTTGTCGTCGTCGTCGTCGTCGTCGTCGTCGTCGTAATTGTCGTCATCGTTGTCGTTGAAGCACATCGAACGAACGTCAATTCTCCCATCCTGTTTGTTCAACCGCGACAATTGATGTGAATATCGGAAGACAGATTTCTTTTGCACGCAGAAAGGAGTTCAGTGCATAACGTACATGCATACTTACGAAAGCCCTATCCGCGTGGAAGTACTTTCTCAAAGCGGCGTTACAAGTCATATGTAGCCGCGGCACGTGTAATTTCACTGTTGCATAATTTCCTTCGCGAAATTTTATCTATCGACAATGTTGCGCGCGTATCAAGTACCATTGCGCGTTACATGTGTTATATAAAAAAAAAAAAAAACAGATTTTAACATAGTTACTCTATAATTGTTTGCTTAATTGAAAAATTTTCTTATTTAATTAATAACATCTTTGTACATGATTTTCCATTTTTTTGCATACAAACTCGTATGTATCATCGACGAGAAGAATTAAAAAAGTGAAAGGTTCACTCGCGCGCGCGAACCGGCGGATATTAAAAAAACTAAAAAATGACAATAATTAATTAATCACTATATAAGACTGTTTGAGAAATATTAAATTAACGCGGTATGTGCACGTATATGTGTACGCATATATGTGTTTCAGATCGTTTCGCATTGCACGTGCCGATGAACGGTGTCCGGGAAGTTGGACTATCACGGAAAAACGCTTATTACGAGGAGAAAGTATGCAAGCAACATTGGCTACGTAATACGCCGCACGCATTTATTATTCATGCAACCGTTCTATCGGACGGTTAGTGTGTGATTGTGTAGTCGTAAACGTACCTGCGAGTTATTAGGAAAATTGTTACAATTTCTCAGCAGGTGGATACGTACATTTATTTTTGTGCTTGTTGTATCATATTATTAAAACAAATAAAATATAAATATATAAATAAAATTCGACAAAAAAATGTTTAATATTCGAAAATTTTTTTTTAAGGTTTGAACCGCGTTAGTGTCATTTTTATACCGACGTTTCGCGAACATTTCACCTCGCTTCATCAGAGCTTTTCGAGAGAGCAGCTTGAAGTATCATAAGTCATAAAAATGACACTAACGCGATTCGAACCCGAAAAACGTCTTCGAATGTTAATACAACACGCCGCGAAAGCATAAAATATCAAAGATATTTAATTTCTCAAGTATATCTTAGAAAATATATTTCGAAAAGTATATTTGAAAAAAATATTTAAACAAGTATATTTTTGAAATGGAAATTATTATTTTCAAAAAAATACAAACGTAAAGCGTTAACGGTTTTTATTCCGCGTGTTAACGTTCTGTGTGCAGTAATAAAGTTAAAAAAAAAAAAAAAAATTAGATACGTGTTACAGCTAATACGATTAGAGATAAAATCGTTGGGAAACCGAGCGCATTTCCGATTGTGGCGCAACTCCAAATAGATCGTGATGTAACCGCGATCGAAACGCGAATGTGCGCGTTAGGAAATTTCTTCGATTAATCAAGAGATACATTTGTTGTAACATAATCGGAGATTTATTGTCCTGAGGTGCGCGCTACCGAGACGAAGTATAACTAAGAACCTTAATTAAAAGGATATTTAAATTCTTAAAGGGTATTATTGTGCGTCACGCTTGATTAACGCTGAACTTCACACACAAGCGAGCGAGCGATCATTACTCTTCGCGTAATTACCAACGCGTTAGAACATTTATTGAAACTGACGATATACTATACGCGTTCACCATATATTATAATTATTTATTACATTACAAATGTGTCTGATTTTGACAACCCGACCGAAAAGATCGAGATAACCGATATATCATGTAACCAATAACGTAAACGTCACACAAACGCGACAGTGAAATACACGTAAAACCTGAAATATACAATCTTGTTGCAGGTTTGAAGAATTTTTATTTAAAATGTAAAACACATATAAACACGCGCGGGGCGCGATAGATAATTTCAGTCGCGGAAAATCAGCTTGCGTAAGTATAAAGTAAGTCGGCTTTTTTGTGCGCTCGCAAATGTAGCACCACTCGAAAAAGTTATAGCAATCGCGCGGTACGCCTGTGAACTTGGGGGAAACGCGAGATACTAACTCGTGCGTCTCTCTCTCTCTCTCTCTCTCTCTCTCTCTCTCATTTGATTCGCACGACACGGTGATTTGATACTATAGTAATATTATCGCAGTAATATGTAATTGCACACACATTCACGCGCCGATTGACTACGCGGCGAACGTCGTCGTTCGTTTTGTTGAGAGAGCTCGCGGCAATGTTCAACGGAAAAAAAAACTGCCGCGTTTTTACGGAGAACGTTCACACTGAGAGACTGGCTGATAATCTACATTCTTGGATCTCGGATGCAAAAAAAAAAAAAAAAGTGAAAATCTCGGAGCGCGACATGCCGCGTAATTACGTGGGTGTGCATTATCCCTTCCCCCGGCGTTTTAACCCGTTCACTTCGATGCAAATCACGCTGCGCGATTTCGATCAATTAAATTGAAGACGAACTTTTTATCGATCGCGGAAAATAAATTGTCTCGTTATAAAAGGTGCGTTCGTCCTATTTACTTTTTTCCCTCGCAATATCCCGCGAAAATTCTTCCAGCACGCAGGCGTGACGTACATATATACACGTTAGATCGTAATCTCGTTCGCCAACGTACAGTTGCCAACAGTTACGGCGAACAAAGCGCTCGTTACGTAATTACGAGCGCGTCTAAAAAAGTAGGGCTGTATTTAATTAATTTGCAAAACATCTATATTGTAGGAAAAATATATTTTTCAAGATCGATCCGCGGCGGTAATATTCAAAACCTCAGAAAGTATGTATATTGCGCGATAATCGAATTGTTTTACGCAATCAGACACGTAAGAACAAATCAATTGTTACGTTTCTTTTCGCCGGCGGAAGAGTAAAGACACGAGAGACACGATCTTTTTCCGTCTCTCTCATTTAGGTCGTTGATAAAACAAACGTCGTAACGCCAATGGCTCTCGAAGAAAAAAAAAAAGACAAAGGACCGTAAAGACACACTCGTAAAACTCACGTTGGAAAAACGTTGGTCGCGATGCTGAAATTGCGCGAGACCGCAGACAATTTCTGCGAAACCTCTAACGAGATTAACAAATTGGCCGAAAGCGCCAGTCAGACTTTTTCCGATGTGATCTCTGGTTTTCAGCGAAACCGCAGAAACTTATACGACAGATACAGAAGAAACCTACGTTTTAATCGTCGTCGGGACATTAGCGAAATTATGTATTATTGATGGCTGGAAAAGAAACAAGGTGTGCAAACGCAATTATCGATGACGCAATTGCGCGACACAAGAGCGTGTTTCGATTATACACACCCCCACCAATCGCAATCACATATCACAAAGTTTACGGAAAACACTTATCCCTATGAACGTGTGATTGTCGGCAAACTCCTTGCAAACTCTCGGATTTCGGAATCGAGATAAAACGACTGGGATTTGACAACGTGGGAGCGAATTGATTATTGTATTGCAAAAACAAATGTATGATTCACGTCGCTGCATTCGAGCGGCATTGTCATACAACAGAAAGGTTGGCAACCGGGGTGGCTCTGTGTTTGGACTATCCGTTGCTCGGCGACGTTGAATTGATTGATTCTCGCACTTACGCACAAGAACTCTCTCTCTCTCTTTTCTCTCAAAATAAATAAATAATTAAAATAAACAAATAATCAAGATAACAAACACAAAAGTTTCTTGTTTTTTTTTCTAAAGAATTTTATTTTTCGCCGATGTAATAGTATTTTAAAAAAAGTTGTTTTATTTAACAGCCTAATAAATATTCTCGGACAAGTTTAACTAGTATTTTCTTTTATCGCTTTTTACTCTTGTTAATTAATTTTAATTAATTTCTCGTATTCGCGCGATCTTGTGTTCAGTTTAATTAAAAAATAGCTTTCAGATTAATTAAAATAACTTTCTCGTAACGTTGAGAATAGCCGAAAGGACGTGGGGTGAGAGGATAAAACGAGCGATATTTTTATCACAAAGACGTAAAAATCAACTTTTATTACAAAATAAATAAAAGTGTTGATGCCAAATGATGTAGGGTGGGGGGGGGGTGAGAGGGTGGGCAGGGAAAAAGATGGCCGCTCTGATGTTGAAATCTCTTCTTGCCGCACGAAGTACCGTTTGATTACGGAATGAGATGAAAATCTGGAAGACGCGGAAGATTCTGATCGATGCACGTGTCATATGTAGCGTCAAGGCGTAGACGAACGGGACGGGAAGCCAATGTATATATTTGGGGAGGACTTTTTTCACGTTTGGCGATGCCGGGTCTTTTTACAAGCGATCCTTGAGTGGCCCAACAAAATGCGCGGCTGTCCTGAGACGAATCGAATGTCGAAATTCGATCAGTCGATATACCGCAACGCTTCGCGGTATTTTCTTTTCTTCGTGACCTTCGTAGTTTTTTGTTCGAACCGGAGACTCCTCGACCCGGGGGGCCGGAAATCCGCGGTTTTTTCTCAATTTCTCAAGAGACAATGTCTCTTGACAATCTCTCGTCGGAAGAGTAGTGCATTCTCCGCCGAGAATTTTGCCTGGATTAATCACGTTTTTCCAACCATCAACGTGATGATGGTCGTTGATTTAGCTGCCTCATATCAGCCTCAGGATCGCACATTCGGCGTGGACCACTCCGGACCAGCGTGTTCGCTGGCTCAAATGCAGATGCTTAATGATGGCCGTGTCCGTGGAGGGCCACGTTGACCACGGCCGGTTCGTGATGAGGAGCCGGGATGTAATGTTCGACACCGACCAAGTGTGGATGCCCTACATGCGGGCCAGAGTAGTGGATGCGGGTGGCGTGGTCGTTGCCGTGAAGAAGAAGCGGAGCGGCGTGCGGAGCCGGGATGCTCGGTTGTCCGCCGACGTGGATGTGCGTCGGCGCATGTCCGGCGGTAGCGACGGCCACAAGGGCGAACAGGACAATCTTGAAGAAAACGTAAAAAAAAATGACTTTGTGTGTTGTGATGTAAAATAAATAATATCTTGTTGTTGTTAATTATTTACACGTATAAAAATAATATAGATTGAGAAAGAGAGGAAGTTAAGAATAGAGAAACTCGCTCTCTTCCGTCGAAGAAAAGCGAAAAGTGATATATACATATAATTCTAATCAGAAAAAAAACCGAAGTATTGCAAAATTTTAAAATATGTATAATTATTAAGCGCTTACTTTTAATAATTACTAATATAAAATACAGATAATATTGCGCAAACGTAATGACATTTGAGTAAAAAACCCGCTGTTCGAGAAGCAACTTACGTAGAATTTCATGGCGGCAAGCGGTGGTTTTTCTTGTGCGTTTGTATAAAACACTAGACAAACACTATGTGTTCAAGGGGCGACGCGGTATGCTTTTATAGCGAAACCCTGCCCAGGAGTCTAGGCCCACTCTCGGGATCGTCACAGGCGGGGGCACGGCGTTCACGTCACACGGACCCCTTTCACCGGCTACGGGACCGACACCCTTTCTGGCCTCCTCGTTGGCTGGCCGCCCGACAGCGCAACGTCACGCCTCGTCACGCTTCTGATAATTTCGACATCGGCAACGGCACCCTTAAAGGTGCCAATATCAAAGATCACGGGAAATGTGGACCAACAAAGAGAACAGCAATATATATATATCATCATCGCCGCTTAATTTAAAGTAACTGACGATATATAGCGCGTAAACGTGCGAGTGCGCCGCGTGACCAAAGAACGAGAGTAACGCGGCAAATTATACGATGTTGCGAGATTACTGTGATTTCGTCTTTGTTTATACGCATAAGTAATTATAAGGTAAGTTTTTTTTACGGAACGGTGAAAAAAAAAACTAATCTCCGTTATATGTGAGAGAAATTAACTTTTATATACCATGTACACACATGTAAAAAAAATTGCATGATCTTACATATATATATATATATTTCTTACATGTGCGTGAATGTATTAATTAACTACATATTTTTTTATTTACAAAACAAATTATCTGAGCGAATGACACAAACGTGTACTTTCACAAATATTTAGAGCCAATCTTGTCACACCATGTTGACTTGTAAATACGTACTTGATATTCAAATATGTATATTTTGTCACACGTGACTGATCTTAGAGACTTTGAGAACGTGACGATCGTCTATAAAAAAATCAGAACGAAATACCTTCGAGTGCGGTATAACATTTGCCGTCGTTGTTACTTGTTAGTAACACGTTGCTCAATGCGTGTGTAGGGTTTGCGTGCACTTTACATGTGAGCATTTTAATTACTTATTTCACACGCGCGCGCACACACACACAGACACACACACACACACACACACACACACACACACANACACACACACACACACACACACACACACACACACATACACACACACACACACACACACACACATATATATATATATAATTAGCAAAATTACAACTAATAGTTATCATTTTAAAAAAATCCAAGAGGCGGGGACAAAAAAAATAACAGAAATGAAGAAAAGAGTGAAAGAAAGAGTAAAAAATAAATAGAAAATAAATGAAAATGAGGAAATAAAAAAAAATAAAAATAAAAACAAGAGAGGAGACAAAGAAAAAAGGAAAGAAAACAACAGAACGTATCGGGTGTCTTAATAAACATTGGACGTGTTGAATTCCTGGTTTATCACAAAGTCAACTTTTATTAGAAAATAAATAAAGATACATGCTGCTGCGAAGGGAAGAGGGAAGAGAAAAACGCTCTCTCTTTGATGTCTTCTTCAATGTCACAATTGCCGCACGAGAATTTGAGTGCTGAGACAGCAGAGAAAATGAAGAAACAGATATATAAAGACGCGAGTGTCATGTCGGTATGTTATGTGTGTGACGTGTTGTATATAGCGCTCTTATAAATTAAAATCGAGACAATTTCTTTTTTTGTAAGTTTCACTGCCTGGTCTGCGATCCACAAGCGGCCCAAGATTTCGTTCTTTTGTTTTTAAGAAAACAAATTTTTAAATTTATTGAAGAAGCTGATCCTGATCATTTCTGGTGATCCTCTCGTTCCACTTGCGTTTGGAGTCACCGCAGTCTTTCGATGGAAAAATATACATATCGTTGGTAAAAAAAAAAAATAATTCGTTGTCGTTAATTAACGATTAAATGATCTTTTGGAATGATTGCTTTGGACCACTCTGGACCACTCTAATGAGTTCGGTGAGTATCGTCGGGCGGGGGTATGTTTTTAGTCCCATCCGTGACCGTGTCCAGTCTTGACGACGGCGATTTGGGGTTCCGGAGCGGGTGCGTAGTGCTCGACGCCGACGAGATGCGGATGCGGAATATGAGGAGCGTCATAATGTATTCTGCTTACATGCGCGTGCCCCTTGATGTGCAGAGGCGATGGGTGCGGAGGCGGAATGGCGGGTTGTTGGGGAATGAAGTGCGCATGGTGAACCTCCTGTGGGGTGCACAGATAAAAAAAATACAATAATATTAATATTTAATAAACTCATGTATGCGATTCGCGCAAAAGTCAACGACTGTTCAATTGTGTGTGAGAACGCGCAACACGTTTTGTTTCGTTTTGTTTTGTTTTTTTTTTTTTTCAAATTCATACGTTGTAACATCATTGTTGAATTTTTCACACAGAAATTGCGAAACACGCGTACACAAAGAGGACAAAGACAATTCAGGATAATTAACTTTGCAATAGGAACGTTGGATGTGAAACACGAGCATTACGTAAGACGAACTGCACCGATTATTGCCGGTACAATTGAGCCGGCGAGATTTCGCCACGGTCTCGTTTACGAGACTCCGACGACGTAGCAAATTGAAAATCCACTTGGTCTATAACAATCACGAGCGCATATTTATTCCATTAGACAGAGAGTCATGTAAAAGCCGGAGAACGCGAACGACCATCAATCGGATCTTACAACATAAACGTAATAGTAGATATCGATCGCGGTGTTTTTTTTTCTTTTTTTCAACCAGAAATGCAATCGGTGACACGGAATTACGGCGTCGGTGGCTCGGTCGAGTTTTCCCAAGTATGTAAATTATAATGCGGCCGGGAGAAATTTACCGTCGTCGTATAGATATCAATTCTAATTAGGAGTTACTGAAACCGCGCGTACCCCACGCGACTGTATAAACTTCGATCTTTCCTTTCGTCGGATCCGAACGAAAGCGAACTTGTTATGTAATTCGCGACGTGAAGGAAGAAAACTAAGATAATTTCAATCAAACAACTTTTCGCGCAGTTCGAATTAAATCTGATCTTAATTTTTAGATCGTTTTTTCCCAGGAGCGATTTTTTTTTTTTTTTTTTTTTTTTTTTTTTTTTTTTTTTTTTTTTTTTTTTTATAGTTATTCCACTTGGCATAGTTTTCTAATTTTACTGTGTCATTTACCTTTTGTCACGATCGATACGTTACCTATTTCTCTCTCACTATCCGCTCTCTTGACAATTGAATATCTAAAATTCCATCTCTTACTCGCTTTATCAAATCAATCGAATTCGATATATGAAGAATTCGAGATTGCAATCGTCATCCTTCCATCATCGTTTACCTTGGGATAAGCCACGGGAGCGGCGACCTTGACATAATTAGGAGACGGCGCAACCCAGGGCAAGGGTGCGTGCACCGGGTTGGCGTGCACTACCGGAGCGGCGTGCACCACAGGAGCAACCCAGGGCTGTGCGTGATCAGAGTGCGAGATTATCAGACAGCGGAATCGGAACCTCGTAAGCGGCGGCTTACGAGGCGTGTGTTACGTCAACAAACTCACTTTCCCACCGAGTACGTTTCAAAGCTTCTCGGTTGCCAGACGAGAAAAACACAGACTGAATCGATGATGGATATACGATGCAGATCGATGCGGTGTGAGTATAAGAGCAAAATGAGAAGAATTATTTTTGCCGCAAAGATTAATAAATAATGCTCGATGAGAATGTGAATGAAAACTCGAAGACATAGAAACGATACGTACGTTACGGCGTATGTAAGATGTGGGTAAATAATTTAGAATGTAAGATGATTATTAGAAGAATATTACAAGAAGAACATTCGATGTGCGGAAAACAAAACCGTCAACAATGGAATAAAAGAGATGACATTTAATTACACACATAAACACACACACATATAAATGTTATTAGACGAGAGATTATATGTTGAGAAGAAGATAAAACAACGGTTTTCTTTTGCGAGATTAAATTTGCGGCAAAAGAGGCAAAGAGAGAAATTGTGAAACCCTGCGGATATATTTCTTAGAAAGATAATCAATGGCGTACGTGTCTCGTTAGAGTGATATTCGAATCGCACACGAGTCTCAGTCGTGTGTATTTAAGTTATTTAAGAGTAGAGAGAACGCGAAAGTGTGGAAGCAAGACAGAAAGAGGAATGAGAAAGATATATCGTTGAACAAATTTATTGACAAATTTATCGACCGCTGAGCATTAAATGTGCTGTTTAAATGTGCTCGCGTAATGTGAATAAATTAGCTTAGATTGAGAGATTTGCTTGAGTTCTCGTATGTGTAACGGAGCAACGTACCGTGCGCGCAACCCCCAAATCGCGCGCATAAATATATGTATAAATAAATATATATAAATATATATAAATATATATAAATACATATATAAATAAATATATATACATCTTTGCGTTCTGCTCCAATTTAATCTTCTTTACAAACTCTACTTCCACGAATCGTGACTCCGCACTACAAACTTTTTAATAATCAATAATCAATTTTGTTTTTGATCAATGATATATTTTTTTCTCGCCAGTCAGAGTCGTTCAGAAATTAAAAAAAAAAAAAAAATATTGTTTTTAAAATAAGAACTGTGAAATTCTTACTGGTTCATGATATCCAATAAGTCCGGCGCTTGCGGCCGCTACAACGGCGAACAATACAATCTGCAACATAGCGATATACATAATACAATATTTTTGCAACAAATATAATAAGAGCTCGCGTAATGTTCGAACTAGCAAAAAAACCTTTAGCCAAATAGAAATGTGCGAGATCAACAAGTGTGAATCAATAATATAGATTTTTCTCGAATTAAATTCAATTTGAATTTCCGTGAGTATTAATTTTCTATTTACATTAAAAAAATATATATCTCACACATCCAGCGTATTTTTATCTCCCATTGACCGTAAATTCTTTGAAATTTTCATGTTTTTTTTTTTTTTTAATATATGTATACATGTGTTCTGCGCACACAAATAGAGAGCGTACATTAATTTTTTTTTTGATACATGGATAGATTTGTTGCACAACTTTGCGTAACAACACCCGTGCAAATGAACAACGTCTCTCCGCGAACAAATAAATTTTATTATCGAATCTTATAACGGCCAACTTTTACTTCCTTGCGTTACATTTGTTAGGTGAAACTTACGAAGAACTTCATGATGTGTGACGGCGGTTTTTCTTGCGCGCTACGCGGGATAACACTATGTGTTTGAGGGGCGACGCGGTATGCTTTTATAGCAGGACCCTGCTCAAGCCCCAGGTGGCCCCAGGGATGCGGCGGGGGCCACCGTCATTTGCACCGCTTCGGATGCGGATCCCTTTCACCAGTAGCAAGCAGATCGACCCTTTCGGATCCCTTATCGGGAGTGTCCAATTAGAGGACACAAATTAAGCCGTAGCTTCCGGTTTCCGGAAAAGGGACCGAAATTTTCGGACATGATAAGAAAATGCCGTAGAAAAAATATACTTTTATTCAATATTTTACACGTACAGTACGTAATATGTATATATATATGTGTGTGTGTGTGTGTGTGTTTTTTATACTGACTTGACGTGTGTAACGCGATAAATTGCGAGATGTTTTATACTTGCGATATTTCTATTTCATAGCAAGATATCACAAAAAAATCGTCTTTTTCGCACAAGGTGCGGAGATCATTTTGGGAACGCAATAATTTTGCATCTCTCTCTCTCTCTCTCTGTCTTTCTCTATCAATCTCTAATGTTTAAATAAATTCCACATAAATTCTCCCCGCTTTGTGTCATTCACCCTCGGGTCTAATAAGCGCGCGTTTACGAGCTACTGTGCTAATTTCGCAACCCGCGCCAACCTGCGGTGGAAGTGGTTGATAGCCATGAACACATTTAGTTCTGGGTCGCGCATCGGAATAAATCTTCCTCTTCTCTTCTCTTTTTCTTCTCGCTTGGCAAAAACGCGAAAAAATCATCGAGATCCTCGCGAGATTCGTCGAATCTTTCGGACGAGAGAACGGAGGAGAAGGAGAAGAGGTGGAGGTAAGTGCACCTACGTTTCCTGTAATTTTAAGATATAAGTACTTTTTTTTTTGTTTTTGACTATTTAGCAATTATCTGTTAAGCCTAAGGCAACCGGTTTCTTTTTATATTCGGTATAAAAAAACTACTAGTATTCGACTCGCGGGTTTTACGCAACCTCTCCCTCTCTCGACTTTAACTCAGCGTAACTGTTTTGCTTTTCGCCTTGCGAATGAAGCGTACTTTGCGCGGAACCAACCCCCCGCAAGTATCTCTCTAATGTAGTCAACGTTGGATGTTTAAAGTCAGGCTAGGCCGATACGTATTTCGCCGCGAAACGTTGCAAAACCTGGAAAGTTTAACGATTCCCATTATTTTGTAACGCCTCGCGCTCGTGCTCTGCTTTAGATCGGAACAAGATAGAAGGAAGGGGGAAAGAAACACAAGAAAGAGACGTGTGCCCCCCACCCCCTCCCCGTTGGTGTGACGAGCGTGTAAGAAATATTAATGCAACACGTTTGCACACCGCACAAGCAGCGACGTCCGAAAGAATAGAAAAAGACCGCGAAGAAGCTCCGAATAATAATTTTATAAAATTTTTATTAGACGTGCATAAAATAAAACACTCCGTGTTAAAAAAGAGTTGACGCAAACTCAACGTAAACCAGAGAGAATTAATGCCGGTTCCGACGCGAGGTGTGCAATATTTACGTATGATGTTCGGCTCCTTATTGTTCTTGATGGTGCATTTTTACAAACGCTTGTGTAATATCGCGCATTGTGTTTCATTTGTAGTAATACGAGATTTTTCTATTGTGCAATGTCGGCATTATAACGAAACACACGATCACGCACCAAAACGCGCGAAAAATATTCACAGAATTGAGGGAAAAAAAAAAATAACGTTTAGACACACACGATTTCTCTTACGTAATAAATGATATTGCACGAAACAAAAACTTTCGTTAAAAACATTTTTGTGACGCAAGGATTTCGTATTTTTTGAAACTTTTTTTTTTTCACCACTCGGGTTGCAGTCGCGTTGTGATTTCGAGAAATCACTCACGAGAAACCTCAGAGGAACGGTCGATTAATCGATAAAAAAAAAAAAAAAACGCTCGTCCTTTAAAACGCTTTTGGCAATCGCGATCGCGCAATTGCTGCTAATTCGAAATCCAAAACAAATAAATTCGCAAACTGTTTTAATAAGGTTGTGGAATCTGTGCGACGTGATTAATTAGACTTTTGAACCTGGACAATTCCGAGGTCGGGTCAGATTTTCTAGCGCATTGAGCATCAAAACTGCGCTGTTCCAGATTCGCGTCCAAGGATATTAGCAATTGCGCCATCCGGCCGCACGGATTCCCATATCTGTGAGAAACGCGAGCGAGTAACTCTCGCTTAGAAAGTAAATTTCCACCGTCGCCCGAGGGGCTACGCCTTCAAACCTGGTCAAGCTTTAATCATTTAATTACACTCGCGACCGAATGGACTTGTCGATCGTGACGGATGTCGGCGAAACGAAGGAAATGGAAAATGATCTTGGAAAAAAAACGACGGATAATTGGCACGAAAAATCGTGAAAATCACGTGTTTTGTTTTCGGGAATTGCTGTAAAAATTAGAAAATTTTTCCAGAAACTTATTTTCAAGAAACTCACGAGAGCGATCTGCGTATATTTGAAGTATTTTTGTAATTAAAAATAACATATCGAGAGAGAGAGAAGAGAAAATATTTTAAATACACGAAGAAACGCATTTCGCCTCAAGATTTAGAGAAACCGGGGATGGGAGAGCTTCGCTTTTCCCGGTTTGTTAATTTAAAAATTCGAAAAAAACATGCATGTGCAAAGAAAATAATAACACAGCGCGGCGCGCGCACATACTGATTTTCTCGGAAAATAATTTACTCATTTTTCCTTAAAGACTTCACAGCCTTGAACGACGTTCTGAATCCGCAGATTGTACGCATGAGTACGTATAAACTTTCGACGCGCGAAAGCGCGGTGTAATGTAATCGAAATAAGCCGTGTGTGTATTATATCGCACTACCCGGAAGAAACTGTATCACCTGCAGTTATAGCAACCAGAAGCGCGTCATAGAACTCATTAAATGGTTCATAACCAAACTGCGTCTTTTTCTTCTCTTTCTCTCTCTTTTTCTCTCTCTCTATCTGATCTAACAGCACACGATCGGCATATCGTAGTCAAAAATTTTACCGCTACTAAACTTAGCTAATTATCCTGTTTGAAATGTTAATTACGCAACCAAATAAATATTACATACATATGTATTTATTACATAAGCAGATACTTAAAGTTGCGTAATTTTCGTTCCGATCTGATAGTTGCCATCCGCATTTTGATTAGATATTAGTTTATTATAAA